GATGATGATTATGATGATGATGGTGACGATGAGGAGGATGAGGAGGAATAGCGCTGATGATGGCAAGGATGATGATCATGAAAATATGGAGGATGATTACTGATGATGATGACGACGACGATGATGATCAGGAGCAGGAGGCGATGTGATGATGATGATGATGATGATGATGGTGATGATGATTATGGTGATGAGAAGGGGGATGGGGAGGAGGAGGATGAAGGGGATGAGGGGGGGGGGGGAGGAGGGATGACGATAATCATGATGATGGTGATGATGATGATGATAATGATGGCGATGATGAGGGGGAGTGGCGATGATGATGAGGAGGAGGAGGAGGAGGAGGATTTGGAGTAGGAGGGATGACGATGATGATGGTGATGTAGGAATCTGTCAATGGGCACTGGCTTGCCCCTGTACTCAGACAGTAATTTGCTGGCTCTTTGCACGCAGCAGTATGTGTGTGGGGCGCGTTTGCGGCGGGGCCTCGGTGCGAAACCGATGCGTGCGGACAGGTGCCAGCGGCGCCGCGGATTCGTGGCACAACTGGAGCAGAAGTAGCATCAGCAGATCACCTAGCATAAATAATGATACGACGCTGCTGTATGCGTAAGGTCAGGAGGAGGTGTAGGACAATGAGCAAACGCACGAGCATGACCTAAGTATTATAGTAGTATTTACATGAGTACAGATACGGCCACTACTGCTAGACCTAATATTTTCGAACGCGCGCGCCACAACCGCGCACGCGAGCAAGCTCACGCCATGAGATGCCGCGCGGAAAAACAAACGTTTCGGCGCGAGCAAACAGCGCAGGTCACATACTCTTAAATGTCACCCCCACCCGTAAGGGTGACATTTAAGAGTATGTGGCTTGCCGCTTTTCTCAGCATCGTGATCACCATCATTATCATCCTCATCTTCATCATCATCACCATCATCATCATCGTCGTCATCATCATCATCATCCTAATCCTTTTCATCCCCCCCCGCATGGCCCTTCTCGTCTTATTCGTCCTCCACATTTCCTTTCTTTTCCGCGCCATCAAAACAGTAAGTCATCCGTACAATCAAAACAGTAACAAACCCATACAATCCCAAACAATTAGAAATCCATACAACCAAAAACAATCAGAAACCCATACAATCAAAAACAATCACACATCCATAAGATCAAAAACAATAACAAGTCCATACAATCACATACAATAAGAAATCCGCATATTTAAAAACAATGAGAAATCAATACATTCAAAAACAATCAGAAAACGTCTTGGGTCCCCGAACCCTGTGAGGGTACCCAAAAAACAAAAAATCAATTGTTTTCGTGTCTTCGGGCTTCCTCCGGGCCCCTCCAGCTAACAAATCCATGCAATCAAAAACAATAAGAAATCCGTACAATCAAAAACAAAAAGATAGCCATACAATCGAAAACATTCAGAAAACGTCTTGGGTCCACGAACCCTGTGAGGGTACCAAAAAACAAAACAGAAAAAACAAAAAAAAAAAAAAAAAAAAACTGTGAGGTACCAGAAGAAAAAACAATAAACAATGGTTTTCGCGTCTTCGGGTTTCCTCCGGGCCCCTCCAGCCCAGATCCGCCCAGGCAGCCTGAAGGCACGAAAACATTGTTTTTGTTTTTTTGGTACCCTCGCAAGTTTTTGGGGTTTTTTTTTGGGTACCCTCACAAGGTTTGTGGACCCAAGACGTTTTCTGATTGTTTTTGAGTGTACGGGTGTCTTATTGTTTTTGATTGTACGGATTTCCTATTTTTTTTGATTGTAGGGATATCTTATTGTTTTTGATTGTATGGGTTTCCTATTGTTTTTGATTGTACGGATTTCTTATTGTTTTTGATTGTATGTATTTGTTATTGTTTTTGATCGTATGGGTTTCTTATTGTTTTTTTTATTTTACAGGTTTCTGATTGTTTCTGATTGTATGGGTTTCTTATTGTTTTTAATTCTATGGGTTTCTTATCGTTTTTGATTGTATGGGTTTCTTATTGTTTTTGATTGTAGGGTGTTATTATTGATTTTCATTGTGGAGGCTTCTTATCGTTTCTCATTGTACCGGCCCCCTTCTCTCCACTACTTATCCCTTCTCCTCCCCCTCCGTCCTGACCTGGGAAGCGAAGAGGCGGAGGGGGAGAAGGAGGAGGAGGAGGAGGAGGAGAGACGATGATGATGGTGATGACGACGACGGTGCTGACGATTAGGATTATGATGGCGATGATGACGATGATGATGATGGTGCTGATGACGAGGGCGAGGGCGATGACGAGAAGGGATGATGATGGCGATGATGATGATGATGATGATGATGATGATGATGATGATGATGGTGACGACGCGGCAGAGGACGAGGATGAAGGGAGACCATGATGATGGCGATGATGATGATGGTGATGATGATGGTGATGATGATGATGATGATGCTGATGATGATTATGATGATGTGGAGGAGGAGGAAGAGGAGGAGGAGGATGAGGATACATGATGATGATGACGATGCGCAGGAAGAGGGGGATGAGGCGGCGTGATGATGCTGATAATGTCGACGCTGACGATGACGAGGATGATGATGATGATGATGATGATGACGACAATGATGATGATGATGATGATGATGATGATGATGATGATGATCATGATGATGATGATGATGATGATGATGATGATGGTGATGATTATGATGATGATGATGATGATGATGATGATGATGATGATGATGATGGGAAGGGGGATGGTTAGGAGGAGGAGGATGAGGACGGATGATGATGGTGGATGATGGTGATGATGGTGATGATGACGATAACGAGGACGAGGACAAATGATGATGATGATTATGTTGATGATGATGGTGACGATGAGGAGGATGAGGAGGAATAGCGCTGATGATGGCAAGGATGATGATCATGAAAATAAGGAGGATGATTACTGATGATGATGACGACGACGATGATGATCAGGAGCAGGAGGCGATGTGATGATGATGATGATGATGATGATGATGATGATGGTGATGATGATGATGATGGTGATGATGATTATGGTGATGAGAAGGGGGATGGGGAGGAGGAGGATGAAGGGGATGAGGGGGGGGGGATGGGGAGGAAGGATGACGATAATCATGATGATGGTGATGATGATGATGATAATGATGGCGATGATGAGGGGGAGTGACGATGATGATGATGAGGAGGAGGAGGAGGAGGAGGAGGAGGATTTGGAGTAGGAGGGATGACGATGATGAAGGTGATGTAGGAATCTGTCAATGGGCACTGGCTTGCCCCTGTACTCAGGCAGTAATTTGCTCGCTCTGCGCACGCAGCAATATGTGTGTGGGGCGCGTTTGCGGCGGGGCCTCGGTGCGAAAACGATGCGTGCGGACAGATGCCAGCGGCGCCGCGGATTCGTGGCACATCTGGAGCAGAAGTAACATCAGCAGATCACCTAGTAGAAATAACTATACGACGCTGCTGTATGCGTAAGGTCAGGAGGAGGTGTAGGACAATGAGCAAACGCACGAGCATGACCTAAGTATTATAGTAGTATTTACATGAGTACAGATACGGCCACTACTGCTAGACCTGATATTTTCGAATGCGCGCGCCACAACCGTGCACGCGAGCAAGCTCACGCCATGAGATGCCGCGCGGAAAAACAAACGTCTCGGTGCGAGCAAACAGCGCAGGTCACATACTCTTAAATGTCACCCCCACGGACGGGGGGGGGAGGCGAATGCGGATGGGGAGGCGGGGGAAGAGGGGGGGAAGGAGACGGAGGAGGAGATAGATTGCGGCGGGGCAGGGCAGTGATGCGGAGGGCGCAGGAGGACCAGCAGCGGGGGTACGGTAGGTTCGCGTCGTGTCGACTGGCGGCGACCCCGCCGCCGGCGTTCAACGTTGACCAACGCTGGGGCCGACACGAGACGAGCTTGCCGAACGAGGGAAACGCGTTGGGCGCAGCGCGACGAGGATTTCGCGGCGATCGGCACGGAAGATCTAGGCCTCCCAGATTGAGTCGGAGCAGATGGGATCGGATGAGCGCCCCGCATCGACGATGCATCGGCGGTGCGGCTCGATGTGGAGCCCACGTTGCTCCACGCCGACGGCGCCGATGTGTCACCGGCGTCGCTGACTGATGCATCGCCGACGCACGGGCGATGCATGGGCGCTGCGGCGCGATCCTCCGACCCCACCCACTCGGACCCAGTCTAGGCGGCGTCTAGAAGAGGAGGGCCCGGAGGTGAGAGAGAGAGAGGATGTCCTGTATCGACGGTGGGCCCCCTCCCTGGCGCGTGGAGCGCGCCAGGGGCGGCTCCAACGCCGACTCAAGAAGCCCGCGCGGAGCTCTGGAAGTCTGTGTGTTTACGCAGGCCTGGTTCCTCTGAGGAGGGCGGGGGCGCGAGAGAGCGTCCGAGGAGCAGGTCAGGAGATGCTCCGCGCGGCCTCCGCGGCTGCCTTCGCAGCTCGGTCCCGCTTCGAGGGGACGCCCGTGTCGCTGCGAGCATGACCCGCGAGCCGAGCTGACCGAACTGCGCCGAAGGCTGTGCGGAACGGCGTTCCAGAAATCGTGGAACACATTCCCCGAACGCCGTTCCATCCAAAGACCCCATGGACGAAGCACCCTCTGGATGGCCAGGTCAGCACTGGGTAATCCTCGCACTCCCCCTCCTTCTCCTCCTCCTCCTCCTCCTCCTCCTCCTCCTCCTCCTCCTCCTCCTCCTCCTCCTCTTTCTCTTCGTGCCGCCAGGATGCATTGGCAGGGCTTCCCGAGACATTGATTATGTGTCTGCAGTGTGTCTACGATTGAGATGCTCCTTGGAGGGCGTAGGGGAGGAGGGGGGAGGAGAAGGAGGGGGGGAAGGCGGAGGAGGAGGAGGAGGAGGAGGAGGAGGAGGAGGAGGAGGAGGAGGACGGGCGGTGATGAAGCTGAGGTCGAGGGCGGCCCTCCCGCACCTCTCCCTTTCTGCAGGGAGGGCGGCCGCCCGCTGAGGCAAGCCGCCAGAGCCGGCGAAGAACGACCTCCTGGACTCCCTGTTCGAGGACGCCCCTGGCTTCGGCCACGCGCAGAAGGGAGGGAGGACGAGGGAGGAGGGAGCGAGGAAGGGATAGGGCGTGCAGGGCACGGGGGAGGGGCGCAAGAGAGGAGCAGGTGAGGGAGGCAGGCGAAGGAAGACAGCCAGGAGGCGAAAGCACGGTGAAGAGGTTGACGAGGAGAAGGAAGAGGAGGAAGAGGGGGAGGAGGAGGAGGAGGAAGAGGAGGAGGAGGAGGAGGAGGAGGAGGAGGAGGAGGCAGGGTAGAGGGGGGAAGGCTTCCTGGAAGAGCCCCTGCTTCTTAGAAGGCGCGGGCCCGGTATAACGATGCAGGGTCGTCGCCTCCTAAGAAGCAACCTCCTTCTAAGACGCCTTCCCCCCACCCCCTACCCCTCTGTTCGAGGACGCCCCCGGCTCGAAGGAGAATAAGCTGCATAAGCATACACATTCGACGCGCCGCGCGGATCTCTTGAATCTGCGCCCGGGCCCCCTGGCGGCGCCTCCGGCGCCGCCCTTGGCGCGCTCCGCGCGCCAGGGGGTGGGGTCCAGCGCAGTTCCAAGAAATCTGCGCGGACCGTCGAACGTGTTTGTTTATGCTGTTTCTTGTCTCCTCCTACTTCAGGAGGGCAGACAACACACAGACACAATTAATCGCCATATTGGAAAATATGGGAAGAAGGGGGGAAACGAAATCCCAGAACATATAGGAAAAGATTGGGAATCCTGCGGCTTGTGTGCGTGTATTCATTTGTGTGTCCCTGGGCCGCTTTCGAAAGTGCTTGTTTGTTGTGTGTCTTACTCCATGCCCTGCGGACAGGGGGGGCGACGCCTTCCCAGACCTCCAGCGTACTGAGCACAGCAAGGCCGGGGCTTGTCTCGCCGTTCTCGTCCTCTGGCGGCCCGTGCTGGGCCGACGGGGCCGTCAGATAACGACTCGGGGATGAGGAGCCAGCCCCCGGGGGCAGTATCTTGGGTGCGAAGCAATTTGGGGGGGGGCGATGAAAAGGAGGGGAAGGGTGCCCTTCTCGGGGCCCTACAGGCCCCCTCTGGGGCCCCAGGGGGCCCGTTTCCTGGAGGCTTTTGCTGACCCCCCCGCTGATCGCCTTTCCATGAATGCGCGTCCAGTTTGCGGTGGCTCCCTGTTCGAGGACGCCCCTGGCGGCTGAAATCCGGTGCCTTCCAGATTCCATTTCGATCCGATCGATCCGATTCTACATCGATTCCGGTTGGCCCGATCCGATTCGATGTTGATGCTCCGACGATCCGATGCGGCCTGATACCTGCAGGCGCAGCCGATCCGATTCGATGTCGATCCCGTGCCGATGCAACCCGATGCGATGCGGACGGCTCCTGCTCTCTTCGCAAAAGAAGCGTGGGCAGCCGGAGGGCAGGGCTCGAGAGAGGTTGTGTGTGGGGCGATGTTGTGATTTTGTTACGTTGGGTTTTCTTTCAGCAGCACTGGATGCGCGTAGACGGAACGATGGATAACGGAGACAAGACGAAAACTAAAAGGATTGCCTAGGCCGAGCCCTGTCAGAGGGCCCTTGCGTCGCGGCTGGCCGCTCTGCACCCTCCCCCCCTCGGGGTGTCGGATGGTTGCCACCCCGTCGGCCCATCGTAGGATGCTAAGCCGATGCGGAGTCCCAGTGTCAAGCAGTGGCGAAGCGTCTTGGCTTGCCTATAGGCCCACCAAATAATGTTTTAAGAACCTTTTGTGGTCTGCACGAAATGTTCTTAGAACATTTCTGGCTGGGACTGTCTTGTTTTGACGCATCGGTTACACGTTCTAGGAACATGTTTTGTTTTTTTATATTATTCTGGGTTCTGAGAACATGTCCTGGTAGGCCTATAGTGATTCCGGGACGATCGGTCCCTGCTCAACAGTGGAGTCTTGTGCGGCTCGCGCGCAGGAAGTTGGATTCCAGGCATAACTCCGAGGGCACACTGAGGTCATGATCATGGGGGCTGTCGGTTGCGGGAAGCTCTGGTGGAGGACGGAGGGAGGCAGCGAAACGAAGCGAACGGTCGGAGTCTGTGAAGAGTGCTAGGTCTCCGGTCTGGACTGTACCCCCCCTGAGAGGATGATCCGTCCATACTGGGTAAGTCCGCAGGGCGTGCTCGGCCTCCGTCTGGGCCTCCCCGTCTGGATTCGGCCGCTCCTGGGACGGCGGCGAGCCCCCCGGCGCCTGCTCCCTGGGGATTCGTCGTTCCGGAGCGTCCGGGGACGGCCTCAGATGTTCTGGAGCACCCTTGAGATTCTGCGCGTTCCAGTCGTTTCGCACCTGGAGTTTTCGCCCGGTTTTGGGCCCCGGGACCTGCACAGATCGATCAGGCTCGAACAATACACCAGAAAGATTTGGGTTGGGATTCAAGTCCCGTTTTTTGTTTGCAGGGCTGCAGCTTCTGTCGCAGTGTCGTATCTCACGAGCTCTCTCAGAGCTCTCCGCAGTGTTCTGGAACGGTCGCGCAGAGATCCCCCCCCGGTCCGATGTTGTCCCGACCGTTGTTTGGTCGTACGCCTTGGTTCCTCGTGAGGCAGGCGGGTGGCAAGGGAGCTGCGTCCCGAGTGTGTGTGGCCGCTCTCGGGCCCCAGGGGCCCTCCCAGGGCCCTTTGGACTGTTTGAGGACGACTCGGGACGAAGAGCATGGCATGGGGGAGAGGCCCCGCACTCAGTTACTCCAGGTTTCGTAATAAAGGGAGGGGGGGTCTCATTTCGGGGGGGGGTCTCTTCCAGGCTATCTTGGAGGGCCTGGGGGGGTCTGGGGACGCTGTTTTGGAGGGTTCTCCCACGGGGGAGGTCTGAAATGGCTTGTCTTGGAGGGTCCAGACCCCCTCCCTTTTATTACGAAATCTGGAGTACCCGCCCTGAGGACCAGTTTCTTGCCTGCCACTTGGACGGGCGGTGCAGCAATTTTTCGATGTGGGCTTCTCTGCCCCGCTCTTCCTTCGTCTCGCCCTTCCCCCTTCTCCTCCTCTGTTTTCTTTGTTGTTTGCCATCTTACCTGCTGTTGAGCCCTCGCGGTGCATGGGGGCCATAATCTTTTGTCGCAGAGGAGACCTGGCCTCGCGAGGTCTTTTACGGGGCTGAGGGAGGGTGGAGACGGGTGGAGGGTAGGAGGAGGAGTAGGGGAAGGAGAAAACACCAGGAGGGAGGTATACAGCTAGCAAGGCGAGGAGGGCGGGAAAAATGGAGGAGAAGGAGGAGGAATGGTTTGGGAAAGCGTGAGGGGAATCAGAATACGTAGGAAGCAGGAAGAAGAGGGGGAGGAGGAGGAGGAGGAGGAGGAGGAGGAGGAGGAGGAGGAGCAGCAGGAGGAGGAGGGGGAATGGATGCGGATGGGAAGGGGGAGGGGAAGTGTTCGAGGGGAACGGGGGGAACAGGGCAAGCTGGATGCGCTCGCGCCAAATCTGACATCCTATCCCTCCCACGCGTCCCGTCTTATTGCGTTGATGTGTTCTCTACCCGCGGACGCGTATCATAGCGAACTTGGAATTCCCCAACAGACCCTTAATTACCGTGCCATGCGCAATCAAGGAGGGGGAGCTGCGTACATAGGTGGAGGGGGAGGAGGAGGAGGAGGAGAAGGAGGAGGAGGAGGAGGAGGAGGAGGAGAAGGAGGAGGAGGAGGAGGAGGAGGAGGAGGAGAAGGAGGAGGAGGAGGAGGAGGACAAGTCTAAGCCTAAGGCTCGTCAACGAGGTTGCAACATACCCTCCCTCCAAGTTCCCTCTTCGTAGGCCCCAAGCAGGGATTAATTGTCACTCGGGGCAGTGTCCCGTTGGAAGATGGCCGTTTGACAATCCGAATTTGCGCCGGGACTTGGACTCAGCGAGTCAATGTTCTTGTTCCGGCTTGGCGACCCTGAGTCGTAGCAGCACGGAATTCCTGTTTTCAACGCCGCGTATCAACGAGACGGTTGCGCCTTGACGTTCCGACCTCATGTCGGCATGCCGCTTGCTCGACGTCAACCATGAGAACGTTTGGGGATGACTGCAGATTCTTAAGACGGATGTGCGCGGCGCTAGGGCGAGAGGCACATGCTGAAAAGGAACGGCCCCCCATCCGTGAAACGAAACGTGCGCAGCGCTGATGTAGGCGAGGGCCACCTTCAAAACGGACCGCCCTCCGTCCGTGTGCAAGTGTTCAAGACTAGTGTGCGCGGCGCTCAGGCGAGATTCACTTGTTGGAAAGGAGCCGCCCTCCATCCGCGAAACTCTTTGCAACATTATTAACGAGTGTGAGCGGCGTTAAGTGGAGAGCCATATTTTGAAATTTACTCGCCCTCCATCCGTGAAGCACTGACGGTTCAGACGAATGCGCTCGGCGCTAGGGCGAGAGCATTGTTTTGAAGGCGACCTGCCCTCCGTCTGTGAAGCTGTTGCAAATGATTAAGTTGCAGGATCGTGCATGGTGAGGAAGTCTCAGGCGAAACGCTGGGCCCTCTGGGGTGACTGGGGGTTCTGGGGGAGGCCCGGACTTGCAACAGGCGCATCCCTGGTGGGGCCAAGCCCGCTGTCCCCGCCGCTCTGGCCCACGGGCCCTCCGGGGTGGCGGCGCTCGCAGCGGGGCGGTCAAAGCCCGGAGGAGCCTTCCTACACTTTGACAGTCCATTTGACAGTCCATTTGACAGTCCCGCGACGCTTCTCGTCCGTCTCGTCCTCTTCCTCCTCGCCATTGTGCTTGCCTTCCTCCTCGTCGTCCTCATGCTCCCCCCTCGCCGTCCCTCGCGCCCTCCGTGCTGTCCCCCCCTCGCCGTCCCTCGCGCCCTCCGTGCTGTCTTCGTCGTCGTCCAACGAGCCCACTGGCCAACGGCGGGAGGCGCGCTTTGTCGCCGAGTGAGGCGGCCCTGGCGCCGTGCTTCGGGGGGCACGTGCCCCGATCTGTGGCATGTTTCTGCGGCGTGCCAGGGGCTTGGCATCGCTCGGACGTATGCACGTTTCCTCCGGCGAGGACCATCGAGGAGCATCCTTGATCATTTCGCGAACGAACCACGCACAAAACCGACAAAAACACACAGGAAATGGACGTCCGAGCGATGGCCAGGGGGGGGTTCGAACGAGCAGGCCTTCTGAGACGGTGGCGGGGCTGCTGAGAAGCCCTCCAGACTGCTGAGAAGTCTTTTGCATTTTTGGGGGCTCCTTCGAAAATCTGCGAGGAGGCCAGAGGCCGACGGGGCCAGGACGAGGATAAGTCCGTTCCAGAGCGTTCTGGAGCGCTCTCAGAGCGCGCGGGCACGCTCTGCGAAGGCCGCGGCGCCCGGAATATCCCCCCGAGCCGCCGGATCTCAGGGATTCTCGGTTTGTCCGCACCCGACGTTATCCTCGCCCTGGTTCCGGCGCGTGAGAAAATTGCTCGGGAGGCCGCAGGCCTTCCGAGCCTGCTGGGAAGGCCCCGCTCCCCTCTCGCTTCCCCCCTCGGCGCGCGCTGCCAGATGTTGGTGTGCGCCTCCCCCCCCCCCCGCGGCGAAATCCGAATCCGACCCTCGCCGGTCAGCGATTCGGGCAACTCGACGGGCGGCGGGGGGCGGGCTCGGAACTCGAGCACGTTATGACGTTGATGATGTTCCAACCTGCTGGAGCCCTGACCGCCAAGCAGACTCTACAGTACCAGGAAAGTGCCGAAGCTGGAGGGCCCTGAAGGGCGGCACCCCGGGGGAAGTCTTCACGCGTCGGGCCCTGGGAGGCGGTGCTCGTTCGGCACTTCGCCAGCGTCTCGCCAGCGTTCTGGGTGCTCGAAAGTAGTTTGGGGAGGTGGTCCTCAAGTACACGCCGGTCGTTGAAAGTAGGTATTTTTGGATTCCCAGATCCCAATCTACTTCAAGCGCCTTCCCTTTTCAAGAATCGGCTTGCTGTTGCTCTGTTTTGTTGTTCTCTGGCAGGGCCTGGACCCAATCCACTTTACCCGCCTTCCTACTTCATGTTTCTACCTACTTCTTCCGGCCGACGTGTACGGTTGGAACGACATGAGACGAAATCGGGGTCCTGACCCAGGGGGCGGAGGTAGAGATAGTGTTTGATTCATTGTTTTGCCGATCGGCGCGGGACCTCGCACCCCTCCTCCACCCCCCATGGACTATTCTTGCTTGTTTGTGGCGCCTTTTTCAAGCAGGTGGAGTCTCCCCCATAGGATGCATCCTTGCAAACAGTCGCATTCAGCAGAGTTCCGGAGCCAGACCCCCCTTCCCCCCCCTTCCGTCCAATGTCGAAACGCCCAATAAGAAAACGTCCACGCAGGGTTCGGAATTCGAGCACGTGACGAAGTCCGAATCTTGCCCCTTCTCCAACAATTCAGGAGAATGGATGGTCGGTGGCGGTACGGTAGGTCCATGCAGCGCTGGCGCGCCGGCGACGCCCGCGAAGGCGTTCCAGGACGAAGTCTGTGACGCGGAAGCACCGAGGGACGCGGTATTTCTAGTAGACCCGACGGAGTTCAATTCTGCACGATAGGGGCCGGGATCGGTTCAAGGGTGAGCGATGGCGCGGCAACGCCGCACGGACCTACCGTAGAGTTCGGATGTCGCCTTTTCCAGTCAACCCGCATGGTGAGGATGGGCAACCTTCCCAAAGGAAAGCTTGCATCCCTGTCTCCTCGGCCCATGCTTCGCCACTTTCGTTGGCCGCGCCCCGCTCGAGAAGCTTCGAAATGGGCGTCCAAGGCCCTTGCATCCTTATCGCGCATCCTTCTGATACGGGTTGACTGTATCTCTCCCCCCTATATCCTTAGCGACTTTCGCTGGCCCTCCTCGTTCGCAAGACGCGAACATGTCCCCCCAGGGCCCGTGCGCAGGGTTGACTGCATCTCCTCCCCCCCCCCATCCTTCGCGACGCTCGCTGGCCACCCTCGTTCGCAACACGCGAACGTGCCCCCCCCGGGGCCCGTGCGCAGCGTTGACTGCCTCTCCTCCCCCCCCCCATCCTTCGCGACGCTCGCTGGCCATCCTCGTTCGCAACACGCGAACGTGGTCCCCCCAGGGCCCGTGCGCAGGGCTGACTGCCTCTCCTCCCCCCCCCCCCGTGCAACAGGAGAGGGACAAAGACGCCGCCGCACGGCCCGCCCCGCCCCCTGCGCGGCAGCCCGTCGTTGGCCGTGGGGCGCGCGGCCGCGGCGGCAGCGCCCCTGCTGCCCCCCGCCGCCTCCGCGCCCCGTTCCGACGGAGCGGGAGAGGGAGAGGGAGAGAGGAGAGGAGGAGGAGGAGGAGGAGGAGGAGGAGGAGGAGGAGGAGGAGGAGGAGGAGGAGGAGGAGGAGGAGGAGGAGGAGGAGGAGGGAGGAGGAGGAGGAGGAGGGAGGAGGAGGAGGAGGAGGAGGAGGAGGAGGAGGAGGAGGAGGAGGAGGAGGAGGAGGAGGAGGAGGAGGAGGAGAGAGGAGGAGGAGGAGGAGGAGGAGGGAGGAGGAGGAGGAGGAGAGGAGGAGGAGGAGGAGGAGGAGGAGGAGGAGGAGGAGGAGGAGGAGGAGGAGGAGGGGGGGGGAGGAGGGGAGGAGGAGGAGGAGGAGGAGGAGGAGGAGGAGGAGGAGGAGGAGGAGGAGGAGGGGGAGGGGGGGAGGAGGGGGGGAGGAGGAGGGGAGGAGGGGGAGAGGGCAAGCTAGGTGCGCTCGCGTCATATCTGACGTCCTACCCCTCCCTCCCATCCCTTGCCATGGCGCTGGTTTTCTCCATCCGCGGACGCGTGTCGTAGCGGGGAGGCGGAGGGACAGAGAGAGAGGGCGAGAGGAATACACAAGGTAAAACGGAGGGGGAGGAGAGAGAGAGAGAGAGAGAGAGAGACAAGGATAAGGAGAGGGCAGATACAACACTAGATACATCTATACATTTCTGTATGTATAGGAGGGAGAGAGCGAGAGAGAGAGAGAGGCAGAGAGACAGAAATAATGAGAGAAAGGAATATAGAGAGATAGTATGGGAGAGAGGGAGAGGGAAAGAGAGAGAGAGAGAGAGAGGTTATGAGAGAGGGATCTGTCGCAACGGTTCGACGAAGCAAAGTTCGTCAGGCTTGCGGCTACGAGCGCCGCGCGGGCAAGTTCCCTTAGGGCGGGAGGTGCCGCGTGTATGTGGCCGGGGTGGTGGGGTGACCTCTCCGTTGGAGCGGTTGTGCGGACCCCGTCTGGAAAAATGTACGGGCGGAGGTGAGCAGGCCTCTATGGTTTATTTTTCCATGTCCCTCTACAGCAGGAACATTCATCCACAGTTCAAACAAGTAGTATGGGGACGAATTTCCATGATTGTTTGACTATGTTTCAGTATTGTTTCCCTTAAGCAATATTCCGAAATCCGCCTGTCGGAGGATATGCCCGACCTAACGCTACGGGGCCCGTCTGCGCCCCCGTGGCCGAAGCGCTGCCTCTGTACGCGCTTCGGCCTGCGCGATGCAGCAACCTGGGCAATGCAAGGCGCCGCCGTGGGGTGTCCCCCGCAGCGGCCCCACAAATCGGCACGAGCGAAGTGGGTACGGAAAGAAAGGGTGCAATGCCCAACAGCAGTTCCTGTTCATTCTGAGCAGGACTCGCTGTCCGCGCCGCCGCGGCCTGTGTCTATTTGAGACAGAAGGCCGCCTGCCCAGCAGCGGCCGCTGTTGGTTTGGGACAACGCTGGTTGTTGGGCATTGTACCGATTTTTGTCGTACCCATGTCGGGCGGCCAAAACAAAACGAGGGAGCCACGGAACAATTGTCAACGGGTCACGCAGCGCCACAGGCGAGCAGAGGCAGACGACGCCACCCCACATGGGGATGCAGCAGGGCTTCCCCTCCTTGGGCCCAGGGGCAGCAGGGCCCAGCACCAGCGTCCGTGCAAGCACGGACGCCCCCCGCTCCGCCCGACCCCCCGCCGACGGCGCCGATGCCCCGCCAGCAAAGGGACCAGGCAGGAACCGGAGAGGTGCGTGGGCCTTGCCACCTCGCAGCGCATGAGGGGGGTTTGCTCCCCCTGCGGGGGCCAACTGCGAAAAGGAGAGATGGTCTCGGTACAGAGACGCCGGGCCCCTGGACCATCCAGGGGCCCTCACGCGACAGAGCACACCTCAGCCTCAGACCATGACGTAGGTCCCGAACTGCCCAGGTGAGGGGCAGAGGAAGCAGCAGCGGCGCCCAGGGCAGCTCGAGTCTGGGGTTGGACCGAAGGAGACACCAAGGGACGGGGCGCCAATCAGTGCTCGGACAGCGCCGGATTGCAGGAACGAAGGCACGTCGTCGGGGTACCGGGGCACGTCGGGCCCCAGCGGTGGCGAAAGGTGTCCAGCCCAGTCAGGCGTTGGTCGCCGGCGTCGTCCGCTTCCGTGGCGGGGCGGTGGAAGAAATGCCGCCTGGCCCTCGCGCCCGCGGCCCGAGGGCGGGTCGGCGTACCGCGAGCGCAGCAGGGAGAGCCAGGCAACAACCGAGCGCCCCAGAGTGCCCCACGTGGGGTGGCGCGACGGCCTGGTCAGAGCAGCGGTCGCCCCGGGCTGTGGTCTGGATCTTGAGCTCGAGCTGCCTGAGCACACAGTAGCTGCCCCAGAGCCACTTGACAGGGGGACATGCCAGGAGGACGCGCCGCGGAACGTCCCAAGGGACGCGCCAGGCGACATGTCAGGGGACGTGCCATGGGGACGCACCGCGGGATGTCGAGCCGCAGGGGGGACACTGGTCTGGTGCTCTGCGGTGGCGCCTCTTTGGGCGGGGGGGCCCTGGCGGCCTCCGCCTCGATGAGGATACGCTGCACGCTGGCCACCGTGGCCGGAGTACCCTGGTGAAGTGGTGGTGCGGGTGTCGCCGTCGGAGGTCGAGCAGTCGACAGTCGGTCGTCGGCGTGCGTTCTGGCGGGTGGTCATCGGCAGTCGTCGGGCGGACGGTCGTCGGCGGTCGCAGATCAGTCGGCGGACGGTCGTCGGTGGTCGTCCGCCTTAGAGCTGGCTGGAGTGCGGGCCTGGTAGCCACGCGGCGGAGCGCCAGCAAGGGTCGTCAGACACTCGGTCAGGACTTCGCGATGACCCACGGCGAGTGGACTGACCGCCGCTTGGGCACGGGGGCCCTCGTGGCCGGTGCTCCCGAGAGCGGGCGGGCGCTCCCTCGCGCAGTCTCTTACTGCCTGCGTCGAAGAGCAGTCGTGGAGCTCGGCGTCGCGAGGCGTTCGTCGGTCACTGGTCCGTCGGCCGGCGGCGGTGGGGCGGCGATGAGCTCCACCCTTGCTAGGGGGGGCGCAGCTGTCAGGCTGGGCGTGCGCAGGGGTGCGACGCCACCGGTGGTCAGTTGTACCACCCGGTGTTGGTGTTGCTCCCCCGCGCGGCCAACAAACGATGCCGTGGATGCCGTGGTGGCCGTTGGTTCGGGCGTTGCCAGAAGTGCCCCTGGCCCGAGGTGCCCCCAGGATTTCCAGGGAGGCCCCCATGGCCCCCAGAGCGCCCCTCACGAGGCCCAGAGGGCTCCAGGGGCCCCAACAGTGAGCGAGAAGCTGGGGGCACCTTGGGCCAGGGGCCAGGGGTACATGTGCAGTCAACTCGCATAGCAAGGATGGGCCACCTTCCCAAGGGTACCCTTGCATCCTTGTCTCCTCGGTCCATCCTTTGCCGCTCTCGCTGGTCGCGCCCCGCTCGAAAGGATTCGAACTGGGTGTCCAAGGCCCTCGCATCCTTATCGCGCATCCTTACTATGCTGGTCGACTGTAGCAACCCCCGGTTGATGGGGCTGCGCTCCTGGCTGGCAACCCGTCACCTGGGCACCTTCGCCAGTGCGCAGTGGCGCGGGTGTCGTCGTCAGAGGACGAGCGGTCGGCAGTCGGCCGTCGGCGGTCGGTCCGTCGGTCGGCGGAGGGTCGTCGGCGGTTCTCGAGGTTCCTCGCAGTCCGCGTGCGCTTGCGCATCCAGCCAGCGCACCCTGCAGGCCTCACACTCTCGCACGTGGGCTCCAGGTTCGCCTTCAGCCGCCTCAAGCCATCATCACCACCGATCGTCATCGTCATAACTCAGTATCAAAATCGTCGGCGTTGTCATTATTATCATCATCACAGACACCACCACCATCACGACCATCATCATCACCAGCAGCAGCAGCATCGTGGTTGGTGCCCCTGGGAGTCGGCGGCCGTGCGCGCGGAGGGTCGCTGCGGACCGCGTCATGGATAGTAGTTTCGGCGGCAAACGAGGGGGGACGTGAGAAGGAGAAGGCCTTCTCAGAAGGCGGCGGGACTGCTCAGAAGCGCTCCGGCCGTCTTAGAAGTTTCAGTGTCTTCGGGGAAGGCCGAGAAAATTTCTCTCAGATGGCCGGGGGACCTCCAAACCTTCTGAAAAGGCCTTCTCCTTCTCGCTTGCCCCTGCTCGCTCGCCGCCGCCTTTATCGTGTGCCTACTCTTTGTGTGTCCCCGGGCCCCCCTGGGAGTGGCGGTCGTCGATCGTCCTCGTTGGCGACAGGGCAGTCCTCCGCCCGCCGTCGGCGGCCGCCGCGTGCGGCGGGCGCGCGGTCGTCGGCAGGCGCCGGACGAGCGCGGGTGTGCGCGGCAGGTCCCATCAGGAGGGGGAGAGACACACGCAGACACAATCAGTCGTCGATCCCCAGGGAGATATGTGGGGGAATGTATGGGAAGGGGGTGAAGACAGAAGCTCCCGGAAAGATTGGGAAGTGTGTGGAAGCATGGGCTTCGTGCGTATCTATGTTTTTCCCGGAAAGGGCCTGAGCCCAGGGTTCTCTTTTAGTTGGTTTCCCCCCGGTTTTGACGGCTGTAGGGCCGGCGAATTTATTTTGCGATAAATAACGAGGTCGCGTAGGGCCGGCGAATTAAAATTTGAGGATGTCTCGAGCGAAACGCTTGTTTTTCAGAATTTGTTGAGGATGTCTCGAGCGAAACGCTTGTTCTGCGTTATAGATTGTCCTCTCCTGGGGACCTGAATTCTGAGGATCTCTCAAGTGGATTGCTTGTTTTCACGTGCCCAGGTCTTGAGGATGTCTCGAGCGAGACGCTTGGTTTCACGCCTCCAGGTGGCCCAGACAGATGTCTAGCATGAGGATTTGTTGAGGATGTCTCGAACCAGAGGCTTGTTTTCACGTGTCCAGGTCGCCCAGGCGGATGTCTAGCATGAGCATTTGTTGAGGATGTCTCGAGCGAGACGCTTGTTTGCACGTGTCCAGGTTGCCCAGGCGGATGTCTAGCATGAGGATGTGCTGACAACGTCTTGAGCGAAACGCGTGTTTTCACGTGTCCAGGTCGCCCAGGCACAGCACAGCCCTCGGCACGGTACATCAATATCGATACCCTTAGCATTGCAGCCTGGCATGTTGCCTGGCACGTTCCGCGGAGCGTCCCGTGGCGAGTCCCCCTGGCACGTCGCGCGGTGCACGTCCACTGGCACGTTCCGTAGCGCGTCCCCTTGGCACGTCCCGCGGTGCGTGCCCATGGCACGTCCCCTGGCACGTCGCCTGGCGCGTCCCTTGGGACGTTCCGCGGCGCGTCCTCCTGGCATGTTCCCTCTGTCGATTAGTTCTGGGGCAGCTACCATCTGCTCAGGCAGCTCGAGCTTACGCTCCAGATCAGTTCGGTGAGGACTCGGATGCCAGGGAGGACTCGATCCACAACGCTATATAGAGCACAATCGCGGCATGGCACATCGCAGTTCAGCACGGCGTAGCACAGCACAGCTTTCGGCACAGTACATCATCATCGATACATTCAGCATTGCATGTGCCCGTCGCCCAATCAGGTGTCTTTGAAATGTTGCAATGCCTTACATTTCTATATTCCTTTCCGGGTTCGTGGGTCGATCATGTTCTGTGTCGCTGGGCTGGGCCCCTTCAGTCTGGCTGGAGCGCAGGCCTGCTGGCCTGGAGCACCAGTGAAGTGTAGCAGACGCTCGGCAGAGGGGTCGCGGTGGACCACGGTGGCCTCGCGCCCGATGTCCTCGCGAGACTGCGGTCGCTCGCGCGGAGGGTCGTTGCGGACTGCGTCGTGGGTCGTCGTTGGGTTCGGCGGACCGTCGTCGGGCGTCAGCGGTCAGTGGGTCGGTGGGCGGTCGTCGGACGTCGTGGGGTCCGTTGGTATTGACTGGACCCTCGGAGCTGGTATGTCTGTGGGTCGGCTGCCACTCACACGGAGGGTCACAGCGCTGGGCCAGGGGGGACACAGAGTCTGGCTGGAGTGTTGGCCTGGTGGCCACACTGATCAGCAGCACCGCGGGCTGTCGTCGGACACTGGGCAAGAGGGTCGTAGCGAACCGCGGCGGATGGCATGGCTGTAGCGTGGGTCTGGTGGCCCTCTTGGCAGGCGCCAGTGGTTGTCGTCGGCCTCTCGGGGGGGGGGGGGGGGGCGTTGCTCGGCGACGCAGGGGCCGGGGTCCTGGCGGCCCCCTTTCTTTGCGGGTTTAGGGGCCTCGGCTTGGAGGGCGATTCGGATGTCACGAGGGGCTCCTCCCCGTGCTCACTTAAGATGGTCCCCGTGATCCTGAAGGTCTGCATGGCCGGCGGGGGGCCCATGCTTTCAGCGCGACAAGCCCGGATAGATCGTCGCGGACCGCGCAGAGGTCGGCACGGAGTGCGCGGAGCTCATTCGTTGGGAGGTCTTCGCGCGGAGCAGCCGGCCGATCCGGGAGGGCCAAGGGCAGGTGGCCAAGCCCTTGTAGACGAGCTGCAGTCAACGGGGTGGCAGCAAAGGGGCCTCTACGAGCGAGTGCAGGGTGACAGGGCATTGACCTCGCAAAAGTGCGTCATACATCGGGACCACCAAATCGTCGGTCGATACATCATCATAACTCTGGGCGGGGAGGAGTACCTCGCACATGTGCGCGGCAAATCAATGTTTCGACGGCACGATTGAAAACGCACCCTTAGCTACCAACCCGTTTGAAGGGGCTTGGGGAGGATCAGGAAGAGCTTGGGCCGTCCAGCACGGGGACTCGAAGGAGCTAGGTCCCGCGCTGGGCGAGGCGCGCACGCAGCGCAGGACGTGGCAATCGAAGTAGGGGGCGCGAAACGTTGCACGCAGCAGCAGCCGCCCTCCGGAGTCGGGCCCGTCGGGGCGCTGAAGATGTCGCGGGGCCCAGGATTGGGCCAGCGGGATCGGACAGCGCTTCGGTCCAGGTGGACCTATCGATCTACTGTGCCGATCGTCTCTTTGTGGTCTCGCTTGGGTTCTCGCTGAGCTCTGCCCTGGTGGGTGTGCCCGTAGGGTTTGGCGGTTCCTGCAGCGGTGCTACCCCTTCCGAGGTAGCGGAAGGGTAAATGGCCACGGATTTCCAGGAATGTTATGTCGGTGCTGTAGTCGTTGGTGTTCTTGCTGGCCTCGAGGGTTCACGCTAATGCAGTGGCGCAGGTTCCCGATGGATGCTACTGGTGTGTGAGGTCCTCTGCTGTGAAGCGGAGGCGCATCATTATTGATGAAAGGGGCCCTGCCTTCGCCCTGGTGGGCATCGGCGTCGACCGCGGCCTCTGCTGGTGGTGGGCTACGTGACGGAGTAATGCAGCATGGTGCGGTTGATTTTGTCTGCCCGCACTAGCTCATTACCGCGCTCCTGAGCCTACGTTGGTCGGAGCGGCGAGGATGGTGACGTATACCAAGATCGGCGTGACGCTTGTGAGCAAGTTCGTTGTATGCTTCGGGTGTTCGGTCGACGCCACCGCTTGTCCTTGAGGGCGGCAACGCACATTTCCTTTCGGGACAGGTTGCTATCGGGTGAGGTTGTCTTCTGGCGGCCCCTGCCTGGTGGCTTGGGCTGGCGCGGCGCAGGCGGCGCACGGCGAGGACGTCTCGGAGCCATGGCACGCGCGCGGGTAGTGAGGGGCTCTGACACGAATCGTCTAGTCTCGCGAGTTGATCAGCCCGAGTGCTGGGCGCCGCGAGAGAAAGAGAGAGAGAGAGAGAGTGACGGAAAGAGAGAGGGAGATGGAGAGAGGGAGAGACAAGGAGAGATCGGGTGGGATAGTGGAAGGGCGGGGGGGTCGGCGTATGGCAGATGCGAGGCGTGCGCGCAGCAGCTGGCTGTGGTGGGGGGGAGTTCACGGCAGGTGGGGCAATGGAAAATATTGGAGGCAAGAGCTGGATGAAAGGGGGATGGAGGAGGACGAGGAGGACGCAATGTTGGTTGGGAGCAACGAGGGCGCTTCCCCCACATCCTACGAAGGGACTTCTTTTATTATTCAGACGCGTCCTTCTCCCTCCTTCATTATTTTCTCCTTCTCACTCAGAGTGAGTCAGTCTCAGAGTCAGTCACACTGAGACCCATTCGCTCTGATTTAGATTCATTCAGATCCAGCCAAACAGTCTCATTCCGACTCACTCGCATTCGCACGATGTGTTTGTTTGCGTGCCCAATCTCTTTTGTTTTCGGAGCAATTTATGAGGATTTGTCAGGCGAGGCGCTGGCTTCAGCAACCCAAGATGGGGCGGGCGCCCGGCGGTATTTGGGACCGTCCGCGCCCAGAGTGTGGGGATGTCTCGGGAGGTCTGCACGTTTGCGTGCCCCCCTTTCTGTGCTGACGGAGCAGACTGTGTGGATGTCTCCCGCGAGGTGCGCCAAGGGGAGGGCACCTTGGGTTATCTCCACGGGCCCGTTCACGCTCAGAGTGTGAGGATGTCTGAGCCGGTTGGCCTGCTTCGGCGCCCCCGACTCCTCTGTAGTCAGAGCAGATTGTGAGGATGTCTCAGGCGAGGTGTTGGCTTAAGCACCCCAAGGGGGAGCCGCAGGGGGTGTGCCCCAGGCCCGTTCGCGCCCAGGCTGTGGGGATGTCTCAGGCGGTTTGTCGGCTTCGCCCCCCCCCCCCAGGCTTGTCTTTGGATGTGTCTTGCGTAGACGCCTCCTAACCTGATTCACTTGCTCACTCAGACGCTTTCACAGTCAGGCTTCCGTACTTACCAGCACCCCTGTCTGATTCAGACTCACTCATCACACTCTGACTCAACCGTCCTCAGGCTCACTCATACCCAGACCGACTCAGACGTAGACTTACTGAACAATTCTAGCCCGCCCACAGCCAGACTCCCTCTCACCCCGACACACTTTGATTCGGATATACTCACACTCATATTCTCCCACCCTCAGTTTCACGCGTACTCAAACTTTTTCGTATCCAGAATGCATCATACTCAGATTAATACCCGTCATTTTTCTATTCACACCCGTTCAACTTAAGACTTACATTCAGACTCACTCACAAGCATTCTCTCCGATCTTCAGGCTCACCCATACTCAGACTCACTCGTGAATGGACTCAGACGGAGACTCATCAAACCCATGCGCAGAACCGCTCAACTTCAGACTGAACTCACACTCAGACCTACTCGCACTCAGACTCACTCATACTCAGCTTTGCGCATACTCATTCCCATTCGTACTCAGACTCTCTCTCGCAGGCCTAGATTTACTCGCACTCAAACTCAAACATATCCTGGCTTACTCACACTCAGATTCGCTCATATTCAGATTTCTTGCGCTCGGATTCACTGAGTCTTCCATCTTGCTGGTGTCGTCTGCGGAGCGTTCTCTCCTGCATTTCGCAGTTCTTGCCGGCATCTCACGATTTGTTGTTTGTGCGATCCATTCGATGCAGAGCCGCCTCCTTCTTATTTCTGGCTCCTGATCCTCTTCCCTCCTCCTCCCCCCCTCCCTCTTTCTCCCCCTCCTTCCTCCCCCACACCCGCCCTCCCCCCCTGGCGCAGACGCAGCCGCAGCCCACCAGGGGGCCGCAGGAAGCGAGGCCCCCAGCTGCCCCGGACGCCGCTGGCGAGGGGGGACTTGTCGTCATCGTCCGCCTCATTCTCTTTCTGTTTTTGCGTTCGAAGTCGATTCTCGTTGTGTTTTGTTTCGATGTCGATTTTCTGAGCTCCCACAAACAGCGGTCGCAGAAGCGAGGTATCTGTGAATCCCCAAATCCTAATTTATCGTGGGTGCCTTCCGATTCCAAGGGTCGAGCGGTTTTTCCTCTTTCCTCTTCGGGCGGAAGCCGAATATGTTCTTAGTGGGTGCGACTGTTTTGTTTTGTCTCGTCTCCTACAGTCGAAATCGATAGTAAGGATGGGTAGCCTTCTCCCATGGGTACCATTTCATCCTTGCCTCCTCGGTCCATCTCTGACTCCTTTCGTCGATGGCCAGCCCCGCTCGCAAAACTTCAGCACGGGCGTCCAAGGGGCTTGCATCCCCATCGCGCATCCGTACTACCAGTTGTGACGGTATTCGATCCTCCTCCTCCTCCTCCTCCTCCTCCTCCTCCACCTCGATCTCCTCCTCCTCCTCCCTTCCTCCTCCTCCTCCTCCTCCTCCTCCTCCTCCTCCTCCTCCTCCTCCTCCTCCTCCCCATGCTGTACCCGCTCCTATCGGCGGCGAGCCAGGGGGTGAAGTGAGAAAGGCTCCGGCCTTCTGGCAAGTGTTCTGCGTCCCCGGGGAAGGCTCAGAACATGCCTGAGAAGGCCGGGGGACTGCCGAGCCTTCTGAGAAGGCCCGCCCCTTTCTTACCTCCCTCCTCGCTCGCCGCCGATCCTCGCCTGCCCTCCCTCCCCTCCGGGCCCTCGCGGTATGATCTCGATTTCCATGTTTCCCTCGCTGCTCGCTCTCAGTCTCTATTCTTGAGTTTCCCAGCTTCAGAGCTGTCGTGGAGGACGGCGAACCACGCCGGAGCTTCCGGCTTTAGGGCTCTAGAGTTGAGCTTCCCAATTCCCAGCTTTAGGGCTACCATTCCCACCGCTCGACGACGACGACGACGACGGCCCTCGCGGCTGCGTGGCCTCCACCCCGCCGCCTCAGCCCCGCTCGGGGGGCACGGGCCCGCACCCGCCGGCGGTCGCCCTCGCCCTGTCGTCCCCACCGGGGCCAGGCGGTCGTCGTCGGCGTCGTCGCCGTTGCCGCCGTCGTCGTCGCCGTCGCGGTCGCGGCCGTCGTCGTCGTCGCGGTCGCGGTCCTGGTCGTCGTCGTCGTCGTCGTCGCCGCCGCCGCCGCCGACGTCGTCGCCGCCGTCGCCGCCGCCGACGTCGCCGCCGCCGTCGTCGTCGTCCCACTCCGAGAGGCCGCGGCACTGCCGCCGCGGGCCGAACAGGTGCACGAAGGGTGCACGCTGTTCTGCCCCACACTGTCTGCCACCCCGTCGATCTCCTCCTCCATCTCCTCCTCCTCCTCCTCCTCCTCCTCCTCCTCGCGCCTCGCGCCGCCACGGGGCTGTGGAAAGAGAGAGGATAAGAGTTTGGCAAACCACCTGCGCTCAGAGGGCTGGTGGGATCGACGTGCTCCTCCCGGGGCTCGCAGGTCGAAGGTCGATCGACCTCCCACCCTGACACGTCGATTTGTGAATCGGCCGTTTCCGGTTCGCGGGAGGGCGTCGCGGCCGTCATTTATTGCGGGTCCGGGTCCGTGGGTTTCGGCCCCAGGCCGTTCTCACTAAGGGAAGGTTTACTAACGGGAGGTTTGTCCACCGCCGAGAGAGAGAGAGAGAGAGAGAGAGCGCCGCACCGGGCCGTACACTCTATCGTGGCCCGGCCCACCGATCGGCGTCTACAAACCGGAGGGTTCCAAAAGGGTTTTTTTTTGGAGGGGGTTTTCTAGGAGGGGGCCCCCAGGGACTTCGCACCCCCTGTTTCGACGAGGTTCCGAGGCCCCTCGGGGGGCTCCCTGGAAAACCCCCTCCCCAAAAACGCCCTTTGGAACCTTCCGGAGAGTGAGAGAGAGAGAGAGCCGCACCTGGCCGTGCATTCTATCGTGGCCTGGCGCACCGATCGGCGACGACAACGGGTGTGGTTGCGCTGGGGGTGTGGTTTGCGATCGGCACCGTCGGGGCCCCCGGGGGCACGACGCTGTCCTCGCGGAGCCTCCTCAGGGCGCGGCGGAGAGCTCCGTCGAGGTCCTCGCCCGCCCCCCAGGGTGCCCCTCGGGGTGCCGGTTGTAAACCACACCCTTTGCAAGCCACACATTTCGGGGGCAACGACAGGGGGGGATAGGCATAGGGGGGTGGCGCATCGCCCCTCAATCGCCCATTGATCGCCGATAGGGGCCCGATAGCCCCAACCTGCCCAGGAGGGTGCGGATTCACTATCGGAGGCCTTTCGCCGATCTATCGGCGATGTATCGCCGATTCCAGGTCGATGCATCCCCCCTATGCCAGCCCCCCCCCCTATCGTTGCCCCTCAACCCTTCGGAGTCGCCGAACCGATGGCGCGGTGGCGGGCACCTCCCTTCCCCTTCCAGACGAGGGCTCGGCCACGCGCAGAGGGGACACAGGGGCAGGGGGGACTGCTTCCTAGGAGCACCTCTGCTTCTCAGAAGGTGCGGGCCTTCTGCACAGATGTAAGGCCGGCGTCTTCTAAGAAGCAACCACCTTCTAAGAAGCCTTCCCCTCTCCCCCTGCCCCCATGAGCGCGCAGCCAACGGGCGGTGTTTCACGCACCTCCGCGTCTTCACTGCCTTCACGGGGCGCTGGATCGCCGAAGCAGAAATTGTATAATCGTAAGCTTTGGAGCTCCGCGCGGATTTCTTGGATCTGCGCTGGGCGCCCCTGGTGGCGCCTCCAGCGCCGCCCCTGGCGCGCTCCGCGCGCCTGGGAGGGTGCAGCTGAGATCCAAGAAATCAGCGCGAACCTCCGACAGTGTATGTTGATGTCGGTTTTGCTCTTCGAACGGAGACGGATATTCACGACCGCCCGAAGCATGGGCGTCGCCCACTTTGCGCAAACAGTGACTGGCCAGCAGACACAACCCACTGGCGCGTGGACTACGGCCCTCTTCAGCCGCAGTGTAGCTCCGACGGCATTTCACGGAGCAGGCACATGCACGCGCACTCATTTTTTTCGGCACCACTTGTGGCGGACACGGCGACGCATGCCTCGCATCATCAGTTGGTTGCCTCGACGACGCGCCGTCCACCGAGCAGGCCCCCGCAGCAGCCAGGAATCCAAGACCGTCGACGGCGCGAACGCCGAGTCAAGAGACAGTGACGCACCAACGGCACCAGCGACGACGCAGACAACAGCCCCCATCAGCACGACTCAACTACAACGCCAGACCTGCACAGCGAGTGCATCGGCGACACCGCAAACATGAGCATGGGACCATGCGTCGACTGCATTCAGCGTGATACAGGAAACGCGAAACATCTCATGCTATTCCATTGCGTCGACAGTTGGACGAAGACGCACACACTCAAGTCACTGCGCATGGTTGCCAGGGTCGTCGACCACGAGCACACAAGTTGGATGTGGAAACCAGTACACCAGCAACGAGGAGTCAACCCACGTTAGCGTGGCCAGCGACAGCAGGCCGGCCAACGCACGCGGTGGGGCGACGCCATTCCTAGACCTGCCCTCGGCGCCCATATCTACCACCGCGAACAGCCAACCAAACGACCTTATTTGGGCTCCAGCGACAGAAGACGTCATTCCTTGGTTGGCGCTCAAACAGCAGCACACCGATTTTATGCGTCGACACATCTACTTCGCGGCTCTGGTGCGTGACTCTGCTTTCATCACAGGGGCGATGTCCCCATTGCGATTGTCCGCACAGGTGGGCGCTCGGGTTCTCCTTTCTCCCCGTCTCGCATCCTGGCGCATCCTTTTTCCTCGCCAGTTCCCTCCTTCTTGGCCCCCTTCGCCATCTTTCCCCTCTCTCCTCTCCCATGCCCCCCCTCCTCGTTCTCCTCGTCTTCCTGCTCCCTCCTGCAGCCCCCCCCTTCTCCCACGCTTCCTGCCTCCTCTTGCCTGTCCCTCCTCTCCCTCCCACCTCGTCCTCGCCCGCCTCCTTGTAGTGCACGTGGGCTGTCTTGCGCCGACTTTACAAAACTGGGCATCGCTCCGACGTGCGCACATTTTATCTCGGCAAGGACCATCGACAGGAGAATTTTGGGCCATCTTGCGAACAGTACGCGCGCGACGCCGAGAGATGCACGATGAGTGGACGTCCGAGCGATGGCGAGAAAGCTGCTCCCCTGCCCTCTCCCTGCGCCTCTGCCTCCCCTCGCGCCAGCCCCTGCGCCGGCGCGCGCGATCTGCCAGGCAGGAAGCGCGGCAAAGGGAAGGGCAAGGGCTCGGACGACGAGGAGGACCGGGGGGGCCCTTTCTCGGGGGGGGGGGACGGGCGAGGACGAGGAGGGGGGCGAGGAGGGGGGCGAGGACGAGGAGGGGGGGGACGGGCGAGGACGAGGAGGGGGGGGACGGGCGAGGACGAGGAGGGGGGCGAGGAGGGGGGCGAGGACGAGGAGGAGGGGGACGGGCGAGGACGAGGAGGAGGGCGAGGAGGGGGGAGCGGAGGCGTGGGCGCGATAAGGAGAATGAGGACGAGCGGGACCGAGGGGGACGAGGGGTGGTCGGGGGAGGAGGAGGAGGAGGCGGACAGGGAGGTCAACGACGAGGACGAGGAGGAACAGGACGACGGCGACGAGGAGGAGCAGGAGGAGCAGCACCTTCCACCAATGCAAGGCCCGTCCCCCCCGCTGTTTGTCCCTTCCCACCTTTCCCACACACACGCACATATGCATGCAAACATGTGGAAGCGCCAGTTCTTGTATACCCATATATATATATACACACATACACACTCTGAGTGTATATGATTTCGTGTATTGGTTATCTCCCTCTCTCTCTCTCCCTCTATCTCTATATCTCTCTTTCTCCCCCTCTCTCTCTCCCTATCGTGTGTATGTGTATGTTGCTTTCTCTCTGCGTACAGACATACAACTGCGCATATGTGTATACATGCATGTAGGTATGCATGTCTATGTATGCTGACATTGTTTTGTCTCTCTCTCTCTCGCTCTATCCCACTGTCTCGCTATCGTTCCTTACTTAACTTCCTTTATCACTTTACTGTTATGTGTATACATTTATATACACCCCTCTCTGTTTCTCTTTCTCCTTCATCTTTATCATCCCTCTCTCTCCCTCTCTTTCTCTCTCCTTCTCTCGTCCCCCAACACCCTCCTTCTTATCAATCTCATCAATCCTGTCCCTTTCCTCGTTATTCTCTTCCTCGTTCCCCTCCTTCCCTGGTAGCCTCGCTGTGGCCCTGTAGCCAGCACAAGCTCTTGCTGCTGTCGCGGTGCACGTGCGCGGAGTGGGACAACCCAGGACAAGGTTTCACCCGTTTGACGCTCACGAGGGCGCGGCACCCACGTGAGCAGCACAAGAACATAAAACGTGATTATGCTGTTTGTAAACGAGGATGGTCAGTCTGTTCATTCGCACGTGTTCGTTCTTTGTTCCTCCCTCTTTGTTTCATCCCTCCTCCCTCACACGAGCAGTGGCAAACAGCCGACTCAGGCACAAATTGATTGCATCCTGATAGACAGAGCACGCCGCAACCAGGTGATTGATTCGTTTGCCTCCAACGTCCCAGATCTCGGCTCTGACCACCAAGTAGTGCACATCAAGTTGGCATTCAAGACTACGGCGAGAAGGAAGAGGACACACAAGCAAACGCGCCACCACAGGCGCTCCCAATCTGCAGCTGAGGACCCTCTCTTCCAGCAGTGCCTTCAACAGCATCTGGCAAACCAGCACCACGACGCCGACCTGGACAGCAGATGCCCGGAGATCGGAGAAGGGCTCAAGCTTGCAAACAAGGATTAGCAGGAGCGCCACGAGAAAAGCACCAGAGACCTTCCGGATATCCCCGACGACGGTCCGACAGCACGGCTCGAAGCACTCATCCAACAACGACGCATTACTCCACCAAGGGACCCAGCTACCAGAAGGTCCCTCAGCAAGCAAATCATGTGGCAGACAAGGGCCATCAAACGTAATGAGATGAACGCCAAGCTCGAACACATCGTTTGCCAATTCAAAGGCCTAAAGAGAAAAAGCTGGCTTAAAAACCATAAAGCACAAAGAGCGAATTGCATCAATGAAGACACTTGATGCCACTGAGGAGACACACAGGCAAAGCATACGTATTCGCAACCTTCTACGAGGAGCTATACAATAATCCGCACCGCTCAAACAGCTTCCGCGACACCCCAACGACAACTCAGCACGACTCAACCATCCCACCTTTCACCGCAACCGAACTCCAGCAAGCAATCAAACAACTTAAGAACGACAAGTGCAAAGACACCGCGGGGCTCACAGCAGAAATGCTCAAAGCTGGGGTCGCTACCATATAATACCACCTACCCCGACTCTACAACGACATCAGCAAACCTAAGCAGACACCACCGGACCAGTGGGAGACCACCACAATCACCGTACTTTACAAATCAGGAGACCCACAAGTCCCAGGCAATTGCAGACCGATTGCAATTATCCCATTGCTCTATTGATGTCTCGCCTCCTTTGCAACCGTCTGAACTCTCTGTTCGACTCGCAACAGTGCTCTGACCAAGCAGGCTTTCGGAAGGATTATTGCACGGAGGGCCTGCTGTTCACAACTGCCATGCTACATGAGGGTTCCTAGGAGTGGCAGCTACCGCCGTGGGCAGCAGCAGCCGACTTTAAGAGGGCGTTCGACTGTGTAGACCACGAGCAAGTGTGGGAAGCTTTGCGACAACAACACATACCTCCTGCATACATGAATTTCTTAACAGTTGTACTGCACCCAAACGGCAACAGTCAGGACAGACACCACCAGCAGGGCTTTCAGTATCGAACGTGGCGTGACATAGGGAGACCCACTGAACTCTGTATTGTTCAATGCTGTCCTCGAGCAGGTGTTCAGACAAATGAAATCTGAGTGGCAGCGCAAGAACTTCGGGATCCAACTAAGCTTCGCGCCACTAGCACGGATCACACATCTACGTTCCGCCAACGATATATTGCTATACGTCCCCAACTTAGTACATTTGTCCTGCTTGCTCCGACATGTACACTCCCAAGCCAAGACATGCGGTTTGGCACTGCACCCGGACAAGACCAAGATCTTGACGAACGTCAGCCGGAGAGAAGGGAGGACAATTTCTCATGTCGACATCATCGGCGAGCGCGTCGAACCATTGCGTTCCGACCAGAGCACGAAGTATGTAGGAAGGAAGCTTACTTGTCACGGCTTCCACGGGACACAGCTACGCAATTGGATTGCCGCAGGATGGGGTCGCTTCGACCAATGAAGCTACGAACTGACACACAAGCGTTTTCCACTCCACAGCCGACTGAGGTTGTGCAATGGAACAATCACAGCATCAGTGATGTACGGGTGTTTTTCTTGGACCCTCACCAGCGACATGCTTCTCACTTCACGGCGTGCACAGCGGAGGATGCTCAGGCTTGTCATCGGGATGCCAAGGCGTCGCAATCTACAAAACCACATTCGCGACACTGACACCAACGAAGCGACCAGCGCCGACGCAGCAGACTCACCCATCCACCACGACAGAACCGACGACGGAAAAGACGACGACGGGTTGGAACCATGGGAAGAATTCGTACGAAGATCGGCGCACGCAGCCCTAGAGCATGCTCAGCGCGCAGGCGTAGAGGACTGGCCTACGGTATACTTAACACGGCCATGGCGGTGGGCATCGCGCGTCGCAGCCCTGACTACGACAGATGGACGCGGCTCTCACTACAATGGACCCCGAGCAACCACGACCCACGCCAAACCCTACGACGCCACGGAGGACAACCGATGAGATGGAATGCCGAAATCACACAATTCGTACGCACAGTCACTACACACGAGGGAGACGACGACCACAAAAGGTGGATACATACACATTGCGGCGGACAAGAAAACATGGCCGGCGTTGGAGCCGAACTTTCTGGCTTATGTCAAGTGTGGGAATGTTTTGCAACATTCCCACTTCACGGTCTGAGTCTTTTCTCCTCCCTCTTTCCCCCTCGACTAGGGTTCGTTCTCGGCGCTTCGGCGCCGCCGCCGGGCTCTCGTGTTGCCGTCCCCGCCGGGACGACTGCCCCCCGTTCGCCTCGCCTCGCCATCCTCCCTCTTGCAACGCTCGTCCGCAACCGTGCCCGCTCAAGCCTGCCACTCGCCTGGGATTAGCATGTAACCGTCGAATGTTTCGGCGGTTGTCGCATCTAGTGATACGGAGAGTCGTTGCTGCCGATTGACAACGCACGGCGTCCGAATATCGAGAGTTGGTATCGTTGTGTGGGTACCAGACGCACATGGTTTGTTTTGACGGACATTCGAGGCTTCTGTCGCGCGAGCGGGCTTTCGTGAACGGCCCGCAATAGTTGTATCGTCAGAGTGGCAACGCAGACAAACGGGTCCGAATGCATAGGCATTCGCGCGAAAAAATACTTGCGTAAGGTCACGCGTGAGCACCCTCGCTTCCAATGTAGCGCGCTCTGCTGGCCGCCCGCGTAAGCCACCGCGTAAGGTCGCTGTGTCTTCGTGCGTCGGGCTCGCGTCTTTCCGTCACTCCAATGATGCCCACATCCACCGCGTCGCCGTCGTGGCACCCGGGCCCCGAAGAAGTGGTGTAGGTGGAGCCCTCCCGCGCCCGAGGGTGGGCAGAGGTCCACACAGTCAGAAGGCCGAGGAGCGTTGGTGCTCGGGCCGCTCCTGAGGTCCAGGGTGGGAAGCGCATTCGTGGCCGAGGTTTGCCGTGGCCGAGCCTTGCTCTTGCATCCCCCAGTAGTCGATCCTCGTGGTGGCACGATGTCCATACAGGCGGGCCCGGATTCGTAGGTCGACCCTGCCAAATCAAGGGTGCCTTTGAGTCCTGCGCCTCGCGACCCATTCTTCCTACGTTCCTACAGCGCTGTGGCCGGGAGGGCCTCGTGTCCTCTCGCGGGTCTTGTCCAACCAAGTCCGACTGTATCCACCGCGCCGTGGGGCCAGGGGTCCGCCTGACCTTGCCCCTGGCAGAAACGATTTCTGCCGCGGCGCCCCCCCCGACCCGGTCCGAGGCGTGGGAAGGCGGTCGGGCGGGAGTCTCGAGGACGAGGGGGCTCGTCAGGGAAACGGTGTGGCCAGGGACCCGGGACGACAGGCTGGTGTTTCCCCTGCTCCTCATCCTTCCTCCTCTCCCTTGCTCCTCGGTCCCCTTCGCAACTCTTCGCTCCTCCTCCTTCTTTTCTCTTTCATTGCGCCTCGTTCCTCCTCATCCTCCTCGCTCCTCGTCGGTCCTCCTCCTCCTCCTCTTCCTCCCTCTCCTCCTCCTCCACCTCCCCTTCCTCCTCCCGAGCATTCTCCTGCTCTTCCTCCTCCTCGTCCTCTTCCTCCTCCTCCTCCTCCTCCTCCTCGTCCTCGTCCTCCTCCTCCTCCTCCTCCTCCTCCTCCTGTGGGCACGCCCCCAGAGGAGGCGGCTCGGGCACGCGCCCCCTGCGGGCACGCCCCCTTTGGCCTCCGCCGCCGGGCCCCGCCCCGCCCCGCCCGAAGGACGACGCGGACGGCCGCGCAAGCGGCCCCGACGCGGGCGAGGACACGCCGGGCGCCCGCAGCCCGAGCGACGGCGACGACGACGACGACGACGGCGGCGACGACGACGACGACGACGACGACGACGATGGCGGCGGCGGCGGCGACGACGGCGGCGACGACGGCGGCGACGACGACGGCGACGGCGGCGACGACGACGGCGGCGACGACGACGACGACGGCGACGACGACGACGACGACGACTCGGCGGCGGCGGCGGCGGCGACGACGACGACGACGGCGGCGGCGACGACGCGGCCAAGGACGCTGGGCGCCTGCCGCCCAGGTTTCGAGGTCTACAGAGTTTGAGGTTTTCGGGCGTGGTCGTGGGCTGTCTGGCGTTTTTGTTGGTTCTCATACGTTTTCGTGGGCCTCTGAGTCTAGCAAGTTTTGGGTTTTCGGGTTTAGAGCGACCTGAGGTTTCCGGGCGTTGTCGTAGCCTTTCGGCGGCATGACGGGCCCCCGCGTTTCATAGTTTTTCGCATGATGCGGAAATGCATTTCGAGTTGTTTATGCAATGAAAGTGATGACGCGAACCATTCTTTGTCAACGCGCAAATGCGCGTGGCGTTTTCTTTTGACACCGATGATGGTTGTTCTCTCGGGCTCTCGGATTCGGATATTGCGAAGGCCCCCTGAATGGCGACGACGACGACGACGACGACGACGAGCGCTCTTGGGGGCCTCTTGGGGGTAGTTTGTGGGCCTCTTGGGAAGCTCTTAGGGGCCGCTTGGAAGCCTCATGGGGACCTCTTGGGGCTTCCTAGGGGTCTCTTGGAGGGGGCCTGGGACGTCTTGGAGGCTTCTTGGACGGTCTTGGGGCTATCTTGGGCGTTTTCTGCCGATCTTATGGCGACTCGGGGCCCTCTTGGGCCGTCTCGGGGGCCATCTTGGGCATTCGGACCTCATTTGGAGTGTTTTCGAGGTTCCTAGGCCGTCCGAGGAAAAACGAATCTGCCCCCCCACCCCCCCCGGGACTACCCCCGGGACCCCTCCCCCCCCTCTGGGGAAGGGATCAAAGGGAAGGGGCTTCCCTTCGACTCGATTACGACACTGCTAGAGTTTTCTCTCGCTCACGAGCTTGAGAAGGAAGCTGCAGGGAAAGAAGACGACGGAGGCGACGACCGACGGAGACGACGACTCGAACAGCCAAGCCCCTCGCACACGCCGACAGGGTCGGCGGATTCCCTGGCCTGACACACCACCACGTTGAGTCGACGGCCCACGGACATGGCACATCTTCTCCATAGTCTGGCCCATTGGGCCCCCGAAGCCGCTGCGGGCCCACGCGCACGACATGGCAAGAAGTCCAGAGGTATTGTGAACAAGTAAGTCGTCGCACTTACCCTCCATCAGCGCGTGGTCCTGGCTGCGGCAACGCCGCGCTTGGAATTCATTGATCGTGTAACGCAATGTCACGCGGTCCAAGTAATTCGGGAGCTTGCCGCCGTACCAGGTCGTCACCACCGCTTCAGGAAGCCCCACTGAGTCTCGATGGTGTTGGTGGTAAGCCCTTTGATGTTCACTTTCGCGCGCTCGTGCCTTGAAGGGAAATTGTTCCACGGCCTCCCAGGAGGGCCCCTCTGTGAAGCACTGGCGGTTCCCAGAGAAAGGGCTCCAAAAACGAACCCACGGGGGATCGCAGGGCAGTCGCCCCTCAGAGCCACATGGTGGATAGCCCCAGACGACCGCTCCCGCGCGCTTCGGACACCCCGCGTCTTCTTCGGGCCCACTTCTGCAGCTGGTTGGCACGAGAAGCACCGGAGGTCGGGGGCCTTGGCGCACGGGCGGCCCCAGCTGCACTGCACGCTCGCGCACGCGCAGACCGTGCCGTCGGGGAGGCTGCTGGTGCTGATGTCAGCAGGGTTGCTGTGGACTCGGCGTGGGCTGGGCTTGGGCAGAACACGAAACTGCGGCGCATGCCCTGGGTTCTTGGACCATTTGTTTGTTATCTCTCTCTCATGATATCTCTTTCACTTTCTCTCTACATCTCTCTTTTGCTCTTTTGTTTTATATATATATATATATCTCTCTCTCTCTCCCTCTCTCTCTCACCTGACACCTGTGCGGCCACCACACAGGCACGACTCCCGGTAAGGATGCAGGCGCTCCGCAGGCACGTTTCTGCTCCGCAGAGAAGTGGCCGACGACGACCCGCACGGTCAGTGATTCAAGGGCTTTGTTGGGAGAGCCTCTGGGGGCGTCTGGTCTTGCACCGGTCTCTCTCTCTCTCTCTCTGGACACCTGTGCGGCCACCGGACAGGCACGACTTTCCTGCCAGGATGCAGGCCCTCCGCGGTGTCCGCTCCTGCTCCGCGGAGGCACGGCCGACGACCGCCCGCAGAGACAGACCAGGATCCGAGGCTTCCTGGGGAGAGCCTGTCGGGGTGAGGTGGTGTTCGCGCCGCGCTGACCAGGTCGGCGCCCCCGCCATGACCGTCCTGCTGCTCCTCCTCCTGGTGCTCCTCCGCCTCCTTTCCCTCTGTTTCCGCCTCCTGCTCGTCGCCTCCCGAAGGCAATCGACCTCTCCCATAGGCGCCCGCAGGCACTCCACCTTTTCCTCCTCCTCCTCCTCCTCCTCCTCTGTTTCCTCTTCCTGCGCTGTTCTATGCCCGTGTGGAGTCTGGAACAGCAGAAGCAGCTGAAGAAACATATATACATCCAATACATCAATTAAGACCATGATTTCGGACGCATCTTCCTGAACCGAGGCCAATCCCAGAAGTTTTACAGATGTCATGTTTTGATTGCTGTGTTTTGTTTTTGTGTTTTTTCCTCCCGTTCCCGCTTGAGGGCTGATGGAGTGGAAATTTCCAGGTGCCTCCAGCGCAAAGCTGGAGAAACAACATCGCCCAGGCCTGCTCCAGCCAGGCGCCCTTCCTCTGTGAGATGCTTCAGTGAGGGCGCGAGTGAGTAGGATATATGAAACTGATAGGAAAGCCACACAAGCAAACACAAACACATTTGAAACGCGGGGGCCCAGTATGTCAGCCATGAGGCAGAGGTCCTCGTCACCATGGCTGGACGCGGCTCGACCACTCGAACCACTTGCCAGCTTCGACCCCGCGAGGGGTCTGGGGACCACTGCTGAGGGAATTTGCCCGCATCCCCCCTCTTGACCAGCTTAATCCGGCGCTATCCGGCCAGATCCCGCTGAATCCGGCTTCATCCCACCCAATTCGGCTTAATCCCGCTTAATCCGCGGCCCAGTCCGGCGTAGCAGTCCCCCCCAAAAGGGGCTTGCTTTTTTCCTGAGTCCTTCCCGCGAACTCCTCCCAGTGTTGTGGCCTCTCCTGACCCCTCTTGGCCGACTTCTCTGGGCCCGTCCAGCTCAGACCCCCCAGCCGGCTCCAGCCCCGTCGGGCCCCGCCCGCGCGCGCGCCCTGCGCCCTTCGCCAAGAGGGGCCCGCCTCGCCGTGCGCGGGGCGGAGGCCCGGGAGATCAGCCCCCGGGGCCTCGGTTGGCGGGGGGGGGGGGGGCACAGACTCGGGGGGCTCGCAGAGGGAGGGGGGCCTCGGTTGGCGGGGGGCACAGACTCGGGGGGCCTCGGCGGTTGGCGGGGGGGGGGGGGGCACAGACTCGGGGGGCTCGTAGAGGGAGGGGTGTCCCAAGCTTCGGCGGGGGAGCGGGCCAAGCCGGATGCTCCCGTATATAACGCGCTTCTTTCTTCCGGGGGGCCGCCTGGAGCGATTGTCCTTCCGACCCCACCTCTGCCCCACCCCCACCTGTTTCTGCCCCCCCGACAAATGCTCGGGGGCTGAAGGGGCGGGAGTCCATGCAAACGGGTGTCAGCCAGAGCGCCGGAGTTTGCAGGATCCTGCAGAGCCAGGGGCGTACCGGCCCGGGCCTGGGTGCAGGGTCCTGCAGGATCCTGCAGTGTCTCGCAGGGCAGCGTCCAGGGCCTGACTGGTCCGGGTCTGGGTTGGGCCGGGTCAGTAGATTCTCAGGCCTAGAGGTTGACACCAACACCAATATCAGCGGTGTTCCTCAACCGAGGGACAAAGATCCCGATCTCGGCGATGGTGGTCATATTCTGGCTTCCAGGGTGAAAATCTAGGATCATCTCTCCCCTGTGGAGGCAGCCCCCTGTCTTGGTGTTGGTGCCCATTTCCAGGCCTCCAGTAGATCCCCGACGCAGATCCCCTCGCCCGCCCCTGCTGGGAGGTCGACTCGGGGGGAGGCCGCTGCTTCTCTGGAGGAGGAGCCCATTCCGCTGCCCTCCGCCCGGGGTTCCCTGCTTGGGCCTCCTGGGGGGCCCTCGTCGCCACTGCGCTGGGCCTCCCAGATGGGGTCGGGGGATCGCGCCGCATCGCCGATGTATCGATGATGCGGCTCGATGCGGAGCCCGATTTTCTCCACTCCGGCGTCGCCGATGCGTCGCCGACGTCTGCGATGCGTCGCCGATCTGTCGGCGATGCATTGGCCGTGCGGCGCGATCCTTCGACCCCATCTACTCGGACCCCATCTAGGAGGCCTCTGACTGCTGGATCCGCCGCGGAACTCTGGTCAGCGCACCCCGTGGCCCGAGGGGCACCCCGCGGCCCGAAGATGGCCCGAAGTGGGTCGCTGGACATCGGGTCCCCGGGCGGTGGACGTGGAGGAGTCCCCGCCTCTCGCATCTCGGTCCGGCCCGGGCGTGCCTCCGGGGGGGGGCCCTCCTCCCGGGATCCTCCTGCTCGTGCTGTCGTTTCCCTTTTCCGTCCTTTCCTTCCGTGGCAGGGGAAGTGGGAGGATGGAGGGTGGAGGGGGTTGGAGGGAGGCAGGGAGGGAGGGAGGGGGGTGGAAGGAAGGAAGTGGAGGAGGGACGCTGGGTGGCAGAGCGAGGATGAGGATGAGGGAGGAGCAAGATGAGGAGGAGGATGGGGAGAATGAGGATGAGGCGAAGCAGGAGGAGGAGGAGGAGGAGGAGGAGGAGGAGGAGGATAGGTGGGTATGAGAAGGGGGAGAGGAGGAGAAGGATGATGATGGGGATGATGATGATGATGATGATGATGATGATGATGATGATGATGATGATGCTGATGCTGATGCTGATGCTGATGATGATGATGATGATGCTGATGCTGATGCTGATGATGCTGATGATGCTGATGCTGATGATGATGATGATGATGATGATGATGATGATGATGATGATGATGATGATGATGATGATGATGATGATGATGATGATGATGATGATGATGATGATGAATGATGATGAGGCTGAGGCTGAGGCTGAGGCTGAGGCTGAGGCTGAGGCTGAGGCTGAGGCTGAGGCTGAGGCTGAGGCTGAGGCTGAGGCTGAGGCTGAGGCTGAGGCTGAGGCTGAGGCTGAAGCTGAGGAGGAGGAGGAGGAGGAGGAGGAGGAGGAGGAGGAGGAGCAGGAGATATGCGTATGAGGAGGGGGAGTATTTTGAGGAGGAACATTGTAATGATTGTGATGGTAAGGCAGACACCCACCGTTCGAGACTGCACCAGATAAGGGAAGGCCACGGTCGAAAGTCAGCCATGCCCTTTTCCGCACGCATTGTGTAGAGAGCCAAAAGGCCTCAGCAATCCGTCCCGATATCCATCCTTCCTCCGCGGCTGATCATGGGACCAGATGCGTAAGCACTGCTCCTGGGAGTGCGGCCGAGGTTTGTGGCTTCCCGGGTGTCCAGAGAGAGAGGTTGCTGGTTTCCTGGGCATCAAGGCAGATGTATATTTTGAGGGAGGGAGAGAGAGAGAGAGAGAGAGAGAGAGAGAGCAAACAACACACACAGACATAGATAGAGAGGAGAGAGGGAGAGAGAGAGAGAGAGAGAAATAAAGAAATAAAGGCAGAGAGTCAGAGAGGAAGAGCAAGAGAAAGAGAGAAAGAGAGAGATCTTGTCAGAGACGCAGATGCGGGCGGGAGTCCGTCCGACGGCCGAGCGGCCAAGCGGCTCGCGCCGTCCCCTTCTCAGGGCTGGACGGCAGCAGAGCACAACAGGGGGTGGTGCAAAGGGAAACCCTGCTCCACCCGTTGCATCTGCTGACGCAGTTGTGCCGGCCTGGTCCGCCAGCCACCCGAGGACCACTGCGGCGCCGTCGGGGGCGGTGCAGGCGCGGGGGGCGACGGGCGGCGTTCGCATGCCGCCCTCCCCGCGGTGGGGACGAGCCGCTGGGGGGGCAGTCCCCGCCACGGCGCTCCAACGACGCCAAGCCGACGCGGGCGTGCTGGGCCGGAACGCCGGGACGCGGGAGGCGGCGCCTGGGGCTGCTGCGAGGGAGTGCGGAGGGCCTGCGAAGTGGCCAGGGCGGCCTGCACCGCGGGGGGCCGGGGCAGCCGGCGGGGCAGGAGCGGAGGCTCGATGCCCAAAGCGTCGCGTTTTATATTGCGTGTCCCAGGAAGCTGAGGACGCAGATCAGTCGTATTGCGCCTCGAGACGTGCGGCAAGGCGGTTGCGGGCGTCTTGGAGGGCAGCAGCGAGCGAGCTGGCCCGCTGTTGACGGGGCGCTCCCGTCGCAGCAGCTGCAGTGGTGGCCGCGGGCGCGGGGGAGGCTCGCGGCGGAGGCGCTGGGACAGACGGGAGCGTCTGTCAGGTTCGGCGGGCGAGGGGGGAAGTAAGAAGGAGAAGTTCTTCTCAGAGGGTTCGGGAGCCCCCTGGCCTCTTGAGAAGTTTTCTGAGCCTTACCCGAAGACGCAGAGAACTTCTCGGAAGGCGCGGGGGCTTCTAAGAACTCTTGGGAGGGTCCCGAGGGGGCCTTGCCGCGGTTGCTCGTTTTTTTTTGTTGTTTCGCGGGGCATGGGCTGACCGGCCACGGCGGAAGGCGGGGCCCGGAGCTGCACACAGGAGGATCGGGGATCGAGGATCGACGTGGACCGAGGATCGAGATTCGAGGAGGGTCAATGAATCGAGGAGGGCGGGTTCACCACCACCTGACTACCCCGCAGTTCCCGTGGGGGCAGGAGCGACGGGGGTTATCCCTTGGAGAGGTGGCAGCAGGGTGGGATTGGCGCTCGGAGCTGCAGTGGTCGCAGGGCCGAGGGAGTCCGCATGCGTACCTTGAGGGAGACCGAGAAAAGAGGAAGAGAGGGAGAGAGAACGAGAGTGGAACCGAGACAGAGGGAGGAGGCGGAGGAGGAGGGGGAGGAGGAGGCGGAGATATGAGGAGGGGGAGGAGGCGGCGGAGGAGAGATGGCCACGAGGAGGGAGAGTAGCACGAAGAGGAGCATAATGATGACGGTGAGGGCAAGGCGGGGATCGCGCGCGCCCCCCCCCCACCCCTCCCTGTTAGAGAATGCACTGGACGAGAGGGGGGGGGGTGCACGGTCGCAGGGGAGCCGTGCCCATCCTCGCACGCACTGCGCAGAGGGCCGGAGGCACTGGCGGTCCGTCCCTGTCTCCACATCTCCGCCATTCGTCCTCGGCCGCTAATGCCGGCACCAGGTGCGTAAGTACTGCTCCTGAGAGGGCGGTCGGGGGCTCTGGCTTGGGGGAGAGGGAGAGGGATAGGAACTAGAGAGGGAAAGAGGAAGATAATGAGACAGACACAGAGAGAGGGAGAGAGACAGAGAGATACGGGAGAGAGAGATACTGTGAGAGAGCGAGAACGATAATGTGACCGATTGAGAGAGAGGAGAGGAGGAGGAGGAGGAGGAGAAGAAGGAGGAGGAGGAGGAGGACTAGGATGCAGAGGAGGGGAAGCTGGGCCAGGGGTGGAGAAGGAGGAGGGAGGGGGAGGGCTGAGGCAAAGGAGAAACAAACAAAGGTGCGGGAGGAGGAGGAGGAGGAGGAGGAGGAGGAGGAGGAGGAGGAGGGGGAGGAGGAGGGGGAGGGGGAGGAGCCCCCTGGGGCCGCTGGTGCTGTAACGCTTCTTCGCCCGCCGTGGCTCTCGCGGTGGTCGGCTAGGCGCCGCCTCGGGCGCCGCCCCGCGCGCGGCACCCCCCCGGGGCCAGGACGACGAGCCGTTCGACCTGGAGGAGGACGCCACCGACGAGCAGATCCAGAAGTGGGTCGCCAAGCGAGAGACGGCGCGCGCGGGGGGGGCCTCGTGCTCCTCGTGCCCAATCCCCCCGCCGCCGACGAAGGCTTGAGCTTCAAGAGCTATGCGGGGCCGGGGGGGGGGGCAGGCCCTCGGACTGTCGCTGCGCCCGGTCAGAAAAGACACAGGCGCGGCAGACGAAACGGAAACGACGCGGAGGTTGTCGTGCTAACGTGGCCAAGACCTGGCCGTTGCCAGGAGACCCGATTCATATGTCAGGGCACGCGTCGCAGCGATAACTGCGCTTCGCCCTTCGGGTCAGGTGGCCAGATCGATCTGGAGATTGATGTTTATCCTCTGGCGCGTGACGATGTTTTTTTGTTGGCCAAGCCCTTCCCGCCCTCCCCCGGTAAAGGTAACGATCGTACGTGGGGTGGGGGGGGCTGGACCCTCCCACATATGCTGGTGCCCGCGCGGAGACTATTGCGATCGCAGCGCACCCACCCCCCGACGTGCCCCACCCCGCCCAAGCGTTACCGTTACCCCCCCCCCGGGTAACGACCGTCACCGGAAACAGTGAAGGAATAATCAATCATTTCCAGGGTCGCATCGCGAAGACAATCGCGCTTAACAGCTCGGGCCGAAATCGATGTGAGCTGTCTTCGTTGCCTGAGGGGCATGCACGTCCATGGCCACTACGTTTCAGGCCTGATCCTTTGTGTGTGTGTGTCTGTGTGTCTGTGTGTCTGTGTGTCTGTGTGTCTGTGTGTCTGTGTGTCTGTGTGTCTGTGTGTCTGTGTGTCTGTGTGTCTGTGTGTGTGTGTGTGTCTGTGTGTCTGTGTGTCTGTGTGTGTGTGTGTGTGTTTCCCACAGACTGTGTGTGTTTTTTTCCCACAGATGCTGCCCGAGCCCGCCCGCAGAGGCCGCTCGCCGCCGCAGCCGGGGGGGGGGGCTCGCTCGGCAGCGGCCCCTGGGCGCGCGGCGGTCCCCGCCCGAGACGGGGGGGCCTCGCCTCCGCAGATGCCCTCGCCTGCAGGTTGCTGGGAGGAGTACGGAGGAGGAGGAGGGGGAGGGGGAGGGGGAGGGGGAGGGGGTGGAGGAGGAGGCGGAGGAGGAGGAGGAGGAGGAGGAGGAGGGGGGGGAAGCTGCTGTTTCTGAGAGCAGGGAGGGTCGAGTAAGAAAAAACTGTAAAACAATAAACTTTTGGCGCTCCGCGCGGATTCCTTGGATCTGCGCCTGGGCCTCCCTGGCGGCGCCTCCAGCGCAGATGCAAGAAATCCTCGTGGAGCGCCGAAAGTTCATGCTTTTACTGTTTCTCTTCTTCTCGGAGAGGAGCCCATACTGCTGCCCTCCGCCAAGTTTTCCCTTTTGGGGTCTATTATGACAGGCCCTCGTGCCACTGCTGGGTGCACCTCGAAGTTCTGGGTCAGAGCACACCCGCGGGCGGGAGAGGTCTGTGGAGTGTCAGTGCCGGTACCTTTTGGTTTCCCCAGTCCCTCGGCGGCGGAGGCCAGGGGGCCTCCATTTAGTCCAACCCAGTGGCTGAGACGGCGCAGGTGTGGAGACGCGCCCACAACGGGCGTCAAGTCGGCCCCAAGATATCGTTCGCTGAGGCGAAAGCAATCGTCATTCAGCTCCAACACTTCCTTCGTCAAGACGAGAGGAGCCGCCAACTCGACCCCGACACTTTGTTCGTCAAGACTGAGGTCGTTTTTAACCATCAGCTTGGCCCCGACGCTTTGTTTGTCAAGACGGAGGGGGCGGCCAGGGGGGCTGTCAAGGGGTTTCTCTCTTCGGAGGAAGGCCGTCGCGGGGGTTTGCCACCCCAGAGGGAGGCCGTCAAGGGGGTTCGTCAACCTGGGGGGAGGCCGTCAATGGCGTTCGTGAACTGGAGAGAGGCCGTCAATGGGGGTCGTGAATTCGGAATGAGGCCGTCAAGGAGGTTCGTCAACTCGGAGTTGACGGCCAAAGCCTTTCACTAAAATGGAGTTGGCGGCCAAATCCTTTCACTAATATGGAGGTGGCAGCTCAAGCGCTGGATAAAGTATACATGGTCATTCGGCGTGGCGCCCAGGCCCACTCCCAGACCTGCCGCCCGCGACAAACTCAAGGCCTCCAAACGGTGTGGTGACCACACCGCGCGATGAATCAGCGAGGACTCGGGCCATGTGGCTCCAAAAAGGACCCCAGGAAAAGGGACTTTTGAGACAGGCGATGCCGATTTTCCGAATTCGCTGGGCTTTGCTCAATGGGTCGCCGCATGATGCCTTCACTCGCACTTTTCGAATTCTCACATGCAAAGCCGCGGTCTCAGACGTCCCTTTCGCTTAAGTCTCTTTAGGCAACGTATCATCGGGAACACCACGTGATTCAGTGTCCCAAGCCGTGCGGTGACGGACCGCGCGGTAAGATCGTTGGGGATTCCGAGGTCACCCTGCGGTCCGTCATCACACGGTTCTTGCGCCCAGGAAAACTCGGGTTTTTACCCTCGCCGATCAACGATCGTGGCGACATCCGAACTCGATCCCCGCCTCCCATTGATTCGGGAGAATCGATGGTTGGTTGGTTATGGTTCGGATGTCGCCATCGTCAAAACTCTGATAAGAAAATTGGAAACAGACAAACTGACCAAGCACGAATTATTTTTGAGCTCCGCGTAGATGTCTTGGATCGGCGTTGGGCCCCCTGGCGGTGTCTCTGGCAACGCCCCTGGCGCGCTCCGCGCGCCAGGGAGGGCGGTCCAGCGCCGGTTCAAGAAATTCACGCGGACCTCCGAGAAGTCATGCGTATGTTTTTTTGTTGACCCTGAGCCGCAATCACCCAGTTCCCAAGCTGGTTGCTTGGGTAAGGGGTTTCCCCTTCTTCGACACCGACGGGGTCAAAGTGCGTTCGAACGCCCTGCGCCCACCGCTGTTTCGAAGGACTCGAAAACTAGCAATGCGAAAGTGGCGGGCAAGCGAGTTTCCTCCTCCTCCTCCTCCTCCTCCTCCTCCTCCTCCTCCTCCTCCTCCTCCTCCTCCTCCTCCTCCCATCCCTCCTCCTCCTCCTCCTCCTCCTCCTCCTCCTCCTGCTCCTGCTCCGGCTCCTCTGGCACCTGTGCCATTGGGAACCCTTTCGCAGAAAAACAGCAGCCCGAGCCTCACCCTTGTTTGCCCGTAGGGGTCCAAGGGGCGAGAAAATGGTTCTCGTCGCCAACGTCCACCCATGGAGTAGGTGGTGGGTAGGTTGAGCGTCGAAGCACGGACTCCGGCGCCCCCTGCCCCGAACAGGGCGCGCAGTGCACGGTCTCCTTGCGTGCCCTGTTTCGCGCACTTGCGCGCCACGGGGGCACGGCCCCCGGACCGTTGGCGTTGCCTGCTGGCACTCCCCTGTTGGGGAGGTGCCCGTGCCCCAGTCGCCTAGATGTGCCCCTGGCGCGCTTTGCGCCGCGCCCGTTTCAAAACTGCTCCTGTTCCTCCTCCTCCTCCTTCTCCTCGTTTTCGTCCTCGTCCTCCTCCTCCTCTTCCTCCTCCTCCTCCTCCTCCTCCTCCTCCTCCTCCTGCTCCTCCTATTCTTCCCGTGTAAATAACTTCTCCCTGTCGCACCCCGAGGCCAGTTTTTAGGGCGGGCTGGACGTTTCGCGTGAGATTTCCTCAGCGTCTATGACCCTGATGCTTAAACAGTGGCACCAGCTTCGCAGACGGAGGGCGGGCCGTTTTTCAAGATATGGCTCTCGCCTCAGCGCCGCGCGCATTCTTTTCAAACGTTCGCCAGGTCTTCACGGACTGAGGGCGAGTGGCGTTAACAAAAATGCGGCTGTCGCCACAGCGCCGCGCGCGTTCGATGTTTAAGGTTGCAAGGGCTTCATGGCTTCCCATCGTCTGCGTGTCAGAAATGGTGTTTTGCAAGGGTTCATGATCATGGGGGTGCAACAAGTTCATTAATTCGAGGCGCTGGAATCCCAGGAATCGCGTTCTGGCGCGGTTCAAGATCGTCAACACGCGACGGTAAAATGGATCCGTGGCGGTAGAATCCCGAGAGCAATGTTTTGGCATGCTTTTGGATCCTCGAGCGGTTTTCCACCGAGGCCGTTTTTCAGTGGAAATGAATTGCTGCGGGGGCTTATAATGAGGGAGCTTGGAGGGAGGGTGAATTCCATTATCGTTGATGACTCTTGGGTTTCCACTGTTCCTCGTCCTTCTCCTTTTTTTTCTCCACCTTTTCCCCTTCCTCGTCCTCCTCCTTCTCCTCCTCCTCAAGCGTGCTGTCGTCTGGTGCCGGATCTTCGGGCTGCATTGTCCCAGCGGCGGTTGTCCCCGTTTTATCATGGGCACCTTCCCATGGAAAATAGCGCGGTGCGTGTGTGTGCGTGTGTGTGTGTGTGCGTGTGCGCGGAGGGGCACGTTAGAGACAACCAGGGGCATTTGGCCCCGAGCCGGCTGTTTCGTTTATTTTGGGGTTGCATCCCACGCCGTCGCCAACATTGAGCGCCAGCGTGCGCATTTGACACGGGCGAAACTCTTGTCTGGTTTTGCGCAGTCGATCGCTAGGTTTACTTTGGGCATGTCCCTCTACAGGAGGACGATCCAGTAATAGTTGACGATGTTTCGTGTTCGTTTGACTATGGAGGACATGCCCGGCCTAACTAACGCTAGGTCGTTGCTGAAAGACTCAACCCGAAGCGGCTCCAAACGCGCCTCAGGCTGCGGGACTACAGGGTGTCGGCCTGTAGGCACGGTGGCCCCGCATGATCTGTTGCATGACTTTCCCTCCCTCGTGGGGTGGCTCACTAGCCCAGTTGTGATTGGGTTCACGGAAGGTACGTGGGCCAGGCGAGGTAACGTAGGTATGGGGTGCCGATGATATGTGTTGGCGGTGCGGGTGGACATGGCATTGCCCCGCCCACGGACCTTGCCCATGTGAGTTTGAAGAAACCAAGGCCGAGTTGTGTATGATTCCTGGTGATCGGTGTCCTTCGTATTGCCTCATGGGTCGCGCCGCCATTTCAACGACAACAGTAGTGGTCACAGTGACCACCCCTCGACCAGATCTTCGCAGGCTTTGAGCATTGAACATGTCGCGAGAAGATGTAGCCCCAAGACGGGTAAAGCCACGGAGTAGAGCGTAGTCCTATAATCGTGGGGTGGCAGCGACACTCGGACAAACGTTGCCGGTACTGATTCCCGATCCACGGGGGGCGCGTTGACAAACTGCACCGCGGGGACAGAGATTCCTCCGTGCTGCCCCTCTCCCCATGCCCCCCAAAGAGTACCAACGTGCGCGCAGATGCTTTATTCCTGCATCGCGCGTGGGCTGATGTTTTGCTTGTTTTTCGTTTGTTGTTCGCAGTTGCGGTCATATGGTTAAATCGGTTGCGCCTCAGGTTGCTCGCATATCCTCCGCCGCATCATCCTCGGCTTCCTGTTCCTCCTCCTCTTCATCATCAATGTCATCATCCTCATCGTCATCATCATCATAATCACCATCACCACCATCATCATCATCATCATCATCATCATCAGCATCATCATCGTCGCCGTCGTCACTGCCATTATCATTCTCTTTTGTGCTGCGGGCAAGAGGGTCCTCCCCCTCGTCGTGTGTCCTCCTCCCCCTCCCCATTCCCTGTCATGTTCTCTGTTGTCCTCTGTGCATGTGTGCCACCTGGCGCCTGGTTGGCGCCGTTTTCGTCGGGTGTCTCTGCTTTTCCTCCCCTCTTGCGTCGTCTGGTGGGGGCTTCGGCTTGTTTCAGAGGGCCCCGGGTGATTCCGCAGGCTCCCAGCGACGTCCAAGGGCCCCCACCCCAGCGGTTTCCGCAGGTCTTAACTCGGCGTGTTTCCAAGTTGCCACGAGGTCTTTGGATGAAGGAGAAGGAGGACGACGAGAGAGAGGACGCAGGGCGGGAGGGAGGGGAGCGGAGGGAACGCGGGGGGAGGGAGGAGGGATGGAGAGTTGCCTCTCGGATCCTGCGCTCCCTCCTGCTCCCGATCATGCTCCTCGTCCTACTGCTCCCCCCTTTAGTTCACTCTTCCTCCTCGTCCCCATCCTCCTCGTCTTCCTGCTCCTCGTCAGTTATGGCTCGCGGAAGATCATCCGAGGTGTTCGGTGGTTTCTTGCGGTTGTTTGTGTTTGTTTGTGTTCGCAATTCGCATGTAGTCGGATTTGCGTTAGGACGTATCATGAATTCTGTTTTCGGGCGTAGCCGGAAGTTGTTTCTCGCGAGATAAATTGAATAATCTGAATTGAATTGAATTTGAACCGAATTGAATTGAACTGAATTGTCTGATCGCACCCGTTACGCGACGGTTTTAATCTCGGCCGCCAAGTGCGTAGCCTCTGGCGCAACCGATAGGAGACGGTTTCGTTCTCAGCCGCCGAGGGCGCAACCTATGGCGCGACCGATCGGAAGTGGGTTGATTCTCGGCCGCCGTGGGCGCAACCTGAGGCGCAACGGATAGGAAACGGTTTGATTTTCGGCCGCCGAGGGCGAGACCTACGGCGCAATCGATAGGAGACTGTTTACTGTTTTATTTCGGCCGCCGAGGGCGCAATCTATGGCGCAACCGATGGAGACGGTTTTATTCTCGGCCGCCGAGGGCGCAACCAATGGCGCAACCGATGGGAGACGGTTTTACTCTCAGCCGCCGAGGGCGCAACCAATGGCGCAACCGATAAGAGACGGTTTTACTCTCAGCCGCCGAGGGTGCAATCTATGGCGCAACCGATAGGAGACGGTTTTATTTTCGGCCGCCGAGGGCGCAACCAATGGCGCAACCGATATGACATTCAGATATCGAGGCCGCCGGCGGCGCATCACGGGCCGCTCCCTGGAAGTCTGTCGAAGTGGTGCGCAGCATCGAAAGTCGTGACGCAGCGCGTATGCCAGCTATCAAATGGCCGTCGGCCCATCCCGCCACCGTGCTTGGGTTTTGGCTCGGAGTCCTCATGGACGCTTCCTGGGTCTCTCGAGAGGGCCCTTGGGGGCCTCTGCGGGGGAGCTTGGGGGCCTCTTGGGGGCCATCTTGCGCTTTTTCGAAGCCTCTTGGGGCACTCTTGGGGCCTCTTGGGGCTCTCTTGGGGCCTCTTGGGGGCCTCCTGGGGGCCTCTTGGAGCCTCCTGGTGGCCTCTTGGGACCGAAAGCTCGAAATGTTCATTCGGGTTCCCCTTCTGGGCGCCCTCGTGGGGCCGTCCTGGGGCCCCTCTTGAGCCGTCCCCAGGGCCTCTTGGGGCCTCTTGGGCCGTCTGGGGGCCATTTTGCGCTGTCTTGGAGCCCTCTTGGGAGCTTGTAGGACCGTCCTCGGGCGATCTTGGGGGCCTCTTGGGCCGTCTTGGAGCGTCGGTAAGCCGCAATGGCGAGAACGCGGAAATCCTTCAAAAACCAACGAACAATCAATGACTTCTGTCTCTTGGGGCTCTCTTGGGGGTGCTTTTGGAGGCCTCTTGGCCCGTCTTGGAGGCGTTTTGGGCCGTTCGGAGGCAATCTTGGGGGTCTTGGAGCGATCTGGATCCGTCTGGGGGCTCTCTTGGACCGTCTTGGGGCTCTCTTGGACTGGCTTGGGGCGCTCGTGGGTCGTCCCCAGCCGCCGAGGGCGCAGCCTAAGGCGCAACCGATATGATATTGAGTTATTTTATGGTTGCTGCCTTTGCCGCCGACCCCAGAAAACAAAACAAAAAAACAAAAACAAAAAAAAACGATGGAGGATGAGCAGGAGGAGGAAGAGGAGACACGAGGATGAGGTCCTAGACGAGGACGACGAGGAGGAGCTGAAGCAGGACGAAGGCGAGGAAGACGATGCGGATGAGGAGGACGAGGAGTTGGACGACGACGACGATCAGGATGGGGAGGCAGACGGGGAGAAAAACGCGGACGGAGTGTGAGCATTCGAGTGCGTGCGGGGCTACGCCCGCTGTATGCTCGCCGTTTGGGCTGGCGGTGGGGCCCAAGCGGCGAGCTGCATTGTGATTCATTGGCTGACGCCGCACCGCCGACCCCTTGGGGCGGCAGTAAGAGTGAAAAACGGAGTTTGCGGAACGATTTCTGGGGAATCTTGAGGTTTCAATTTCCTGGGATTTCGTCGGGGGCGGTTGGCGGATCGCCGCTCTGCTCTTGGGGTTCTCTGGGCTCTGCTGGCAGCACTGTTGAGGCCTCTTGGGAGCCGGTTTGAAGCCTCTAGGAGCCTCTGTTGGGCCTCTCGGGGGCCTCGTGGGAGCCTCTTGGGGGCCGATTGGCGCCTCCTCAGGTTGTTTGCTCGAAATGTTTATTCGGGTTCCCCTTCTGGGCCTCCTCTTGGGGCCGTCCTGGGGCCCTCCTGGGTCGTTTAGGAAGCTTCTGGTGCCGTCTTGGGGCCCTCTTGGGCCGTCTTGGAGCCCTATTGGGGGCCTCTAGGGCTATCTTGGGTCGATCTTGAAGGCTTCTTGGGCCGTTGCGGGCCTCGTTAAAGCCCAAGAGACGAATGTGCTAAAAATATACGTGTTCCCTCGGGAATGGGACGATTCTTGCTTCTGGAGGGCCTCTTGGGACGCCTCTTGGTGGCTTCTTGCGGCGTCTTGGGGGCCTCTGGAACCGTCTGGAGGCCTCTTGGGCGTCTTGGAGCTATCTTTCGGCGACTCGTAGCCCTCTTGGACCGTCCGGGTGGCCTTTCGGGGCCCTCTTGGCCCGTTTTTGGCCCCCCTGAGGCTCCAAGGGTGCGGCCGACACCTTTGCCCCCCCCCCCCCCCCCCCCCTCCAAACCGGCCGGACCGGGCTCCCGGGGGAGGGGTTTGGGGAGGGGGAAGCATCTCACACGCCTTGACCCCAAGGGGTCGGCGGATTTCTGACGGGCTCAAGGGGTTCTCCATATCATTTTGAGCAGGTGCCCCAGGAGCAGGTGAAGGGCAACGAGGGGGAGGAGGAGGACAGAGGACGGGAGTAGGGACGGAGGAGACAGGGAGGATGGAGAGGGGAGAGGTTCAGGGGACAGGAGGGAGAGGGAGGAAGGAGGGAGAGAGGGGGGAGGAGGGAGAGGGGCGGGGGGGAGGGAGAGGGATGGGAGGGAGGAGGGAGGGGAGGATACAGGGAGATGGCCCTCTGATCGCTGCTTACAGGGCTAGAATGGCCCTCTGCGCTGCTTATCCCTGGGCTCCGCCGATGCTTGTGCTAGGGCTGCTCGCTCTCGCACTCCAGCTCCGTGTTCCCCTCTTGCCTCCTCTTAACCCTCCTCGCTGCGTCCCTTCTCCCTCCTCTCCTCCTCCTCCTTCCTCCTCCTCCTCCTCCTCCTCATCCTCCTTCCTCCTCCTCCCTTCTCCCTCCCTCTCCTCCTCCTCCTCGTCCTCCTCCTCTTTCTCCCTTCCCCTCCATTCCTCCCTCTCCTCCTCCTTCTCCTCCTCCTCCTCCTCCTCCTCCTCCTCCTCCTCCTCCTCCTCCCACATCTCTCCTCCTCTTTCTCCTCCTTCTCCTCTTCCTTATCCTCCTTTTCCTCCCTTCTCCCCCCTCACCTCTCCATCTCTTACCTCCTCGCATCTCTCCTCCTATCCACTGGTTCTCATTGTCCTCTTTGTCCTTGGTGAAGGTGTGCCTCCTGGCGCCCAGGGGACCGAAAAGCTTGGCGGGGTTGCCCCTGGCACGGACGCAGCGGTTGAGCGGTGTCATTGACGACGAGGAATCTCCACATTCACGGATCGTGGCCAAGCCCATCGGTAGGTTCGGTACATGCATCCGATGTGTTCTTTTGTTGCATGCGCGGCGTGGAGGCGCGCAGAAATAAAGATTTCATGACGGCCGACAAGATTCGCAAGGACAGGCGTTGTTGTTTCGTGGGGGGTGGCGTTGACTTGGTCGCAAAGCTCAAGGGAAGGGCATGATCCGGGCGAGTGAACCACCGTCAGTGTCTGACAGGTGCAGGTCGTGATATGGGGCATGTGCTCGTGCGCGTGCCATCGGTGCATCAGCGCATGTCCGCTTGCGCTCCTGGGGCGTGGGGACGTGGGCGGAGGAGGAGGAAGGAGGAGGGAGGAGGAGGGAGGAGGAGGGAGGAGGAGGGAGGAGGCGGGAGGAGGTGGGAGGAGGAGGAGGAGGAGGAGGGGGGAGGAGGAGGAGGAGGAGGAGGAAGAGGGGAGGGTCCGGCAGCTGCGTGTCGTGTTGGCGCGTCGGCGTTCAGGGCCGCACGCCGCCCGGGGCCTCGCGGCCGGCCGACGTCGAGCGGCCTGCGCCATCGGAGCGCCGGGATCGTGCAGGGTTTGAGCGCCCCGCGCGGTGTCGGAGGCCGTCGTCGGAGGAAGGCGGTCGGGGCAGGCGTGCGTGCGCTCGGCAGCCAGAGGAGGAGGAGGAGGAGGAGGAGGAGGAGGAGGAGGAGGAGGAGGAGGAGGAGGGGGAGGAGGAGGAGGGGGAGGAGGGAGGAGGAGAAGAGGGAGGAGGAGGAGGAGGAGGAGTGGAGGAGGAGGAGGAGGAACTGCTCCTGCTCGCAGTGCTCCCGCCTCATGCCTCTGCCCAACCCCTCGAGACTCTGCGCTGGGCAAGGGCAGCGCCACTCCGACGTCCTGGGCTATGTCGGGCAAGTGATAATCTGTGGCCTGCCTCGGAGGAGTTATGGAATGATGATGAGTTGATGATGATGGATGATGGGGAGGAGTAGGAGGAGTAGGAGGAGGAGAGGTAGCAGGAGGAGGAGGAGGAGGAGGAGGAGGATGAGGAGGAGGGGGAGGAGGAGGAGGAGGAGGGGAGAGGAGGAGGAGGAGGAGGACGAGGAGGAGGACGAGGACGAGGACGAGGAGGAGCGACCGAACGACTCAGCAGAGACGTATCAGCTTGATCCTGCCTTGGCCGGGGGCACTGGGCAGACTACACCTGTGCTCCCGGCCAACTCGCCTCTGGAGGGCGCTGGGTCGATAGTTATTCCGCACTCGCGTGGCATCAGATGCACTCCAGAGCTTATTCACCCCCTACCTCGGCTGGAGGCCCGATGCTTTGAAGGCTGGGATAGAGAGGAGAAGGAGGAGAAGGCAGGATTCCGGGAGGCCCTCGTCGACACCGTTGGATTCGGCTCGACATTCTGCTAAGAACGCACCCGGGGAGAGGTCAGTCGAGCGAGGGGAAGAAGTCAGAGGAAGGAGGCCTTCTCAGACGGCGGCGGAGCTCCTCAGAAGCCATCGCGACTCCCGCGATGTGTTTTCTGTGTCTTCGGGGAGAGCTCGGGAAACTTCTCAACAGACCAAAAAACCTCCGAGCCTTCCGAGAAGGCCCGCCCGTCCTCTCTCGCTTGTACCCTCCCCGGGCGCGCCGACGATCCTTGTGAAGGCATCGTTCAGAGCTCGAATGAGGAGGAAAGGGAGGAGGAGGAGGAGGAGGAGGAGGAGGAGGAGGAGGAGGAGAAGGAGGAGGAGGAGGTGAGGAACGAGGAGGAGGAGCAGGAGCAGGAGGAGACGAGAGGAGGATGGGAGGAGGGAGAGGAGGTAGGGGGAGGAGGAGGAGGAGGAGGGGAGGAAGAGGGAGGTAGGGGAGAGGGAGGAGGAGGGGAGTGAGGAGGAGGAGGAGGAGGTAGGAGGAGGAGGAGGAGGAGGAGGAGGCGCAGGAGGCGGAGGAGGAGGAGGAAGGAGGAGGAGGAGGAGGCGGGGGAGGCGAGGGAGGAAGGAGGGGAGGAGGAAGAGGAGGAGGAGGCGGAGGGAGGGGGAGGGGGGATGAGGTGAGGGAGGAGCGGGAGGAGGAGGGGAGGAAGGGGGGAGGAGAGGGGCGGAGAAGGGAGGAGAGGGAGGAGAGGGAGGAGAGGGAGGCGGGGCGGAGAGGGAGGCAGAGGGAGGAGAGGGGAGGAGAGGGAGGAGAGGTTGGGAGGGAGGGAGAGGGAGGAGGGGAGGAGGGGAGGAGGAGGGAGGAGGAGGGGGAGGCGGAGGAGGAGGGGGAGGATGCAGGAGGAGGAGGAGGAGGAGGAGGGAGGAGGCGGAGGTAGGGGTGAGGGGTGAGGAGGAGGAGGAGGAGAAGGGAGGAGGAGGAGCAGGTGAGGAGGAGGGAGGAGCAGGAGGAAAAGGAGGAGGGGAGGAGGAGGAGGAAGAGGAGGAGAAGGAGGAGGAGGAGGAGGGGGTGGAGGGAGGAGGAGCAGGAGGAAAGGAGGAGGAGGAGGACGGAGGAGGGGCAGGGGGGGCAGGCGGAAAGGAGCAGAGAAGGAGGGAGAGAGGGAGGAGGAGGAGGGGAGGATGGAGGAGGAGGAAGGAGGGTGGAAGGAGGAGGAGGAGTGAGGAGGGGGAAGATGAGAAGGAGGAGGAGGAGGAGGAGGAGGAGGAGGAGGAGGAGGGGAGGAGGAGGAAGGGGAGGGTGCAGGAGGGGGATGCAGACAGGGAGGTGGAGACCCATGCCAAGGAACACCCTGCTTGCCTCCAGGGTGCCCTGGGTCTCTCGGGTTCCGATAGCTCTGCGACGGAACGCGTGGCATTCCCACCCCCAACAAAGCCCGTGGACGTCCTGGGGCTTCGGGGTTGGGTTCCTTTTGGAGGGTGCCTTGTGCAAGGGTCCTCTCCGTCAGGAGCGGTTCGGGCTCGGAGGGGGCGCGCTGCTCCTCGAGTCCTTGCACTGGTGGTTCCCCCTTCGGGAGGGAAGGAACCACACAGGCACAATGAATCGTCGACTCCCAGGAAAATATTGGAAACTATGGGAAGTGGGGGGGAAAACGAAAACCCAGAAACTATATTGGGAATCCTGTTAGTTGTGTCTGCTTATTTGTGTGTCCCTGGGCAGCTTCACCCCTGGCGTTCCTCGCCCACCCAGGCGCGCTCGGAGCCCCCAAACCAGGGGGGCTCGTTCCTGCTCCTGCGTTCCTCGCCCACCCAGGCGCGCTCGGGGCCCCCAAAACAAGGGGGCTCCTTCCTGCTCCTGCGCGCTCGGAGCCCCCCAAAACAAGGGGGGCTCGTTCCTGCCCCAGCGTTCCCGAGCGCAGCGCCTCCACTGCACGCTCCGGCGCGAGGCCGCTTCGCCGGCGGAGCGCTTCTCCCGGACCGCTCGGCTCGACTGCGCGTCGGGGTGGCCAGATTCGCCGGAGTGACCTTTTTCAGGAGGGGGAAAAACACACAGACACAATTAATCGGCGATTCCCAGAAAATATAGGAAAATATGGGAAGTGGGGGGGAAGACAAAAACCCAGAAAATATGGGAAAATATGAGGGATATTTTTATTTGTGTGTATTTATTTGTGTGTCCCAATTCCCCTTCATTTTTGGGTGCGGGCCCACAAGGCTCGGGGGTGGACAGAACCCCCAACAGTGACACGTCGATCAGTGAATTGTCCATGTTCGGTTCTCGAGAGGGCGCCGTGGCCGTGATTTTCCAGGCTTGCGCCCGCCAGGTTTGGGCCTCAGGTCGTTTTCGCTGAACCACGTTTTACTAAAGGGGGGTCTGTCCATCCCCGAAAAGCTCCCCCGATCGCTGAGCGCGAAGCGGCAGCAGCGGCTTGCGCAGGGTCACTCTTACGTGTAGCCGACGCTCAGCTCGACTACGCGTAAGGGTGACAAATTCGCCGGAGTGACCTCTAGTGCGGGCCCACTGGGGTCCTCCAGGTCGCGGATCGCGATGCGCTGGTGGCTGCTTGCGCGCTTGGACCTGCCCACTTTGCGCCCCCCCAGTCCACGCACCAAAGGTCACTCCTTGCCCTGATGGCCGACCACCCGCAGGGGGCGGTGCAGTCAACCCGCACAGCAAGGACGAGCAACTTTCCAAGGTTACCCTTGCATCCTTGCCCCATCGGCCCATCCCTGGCAGCTCTCTCTGACCAGCCCCACTTGAAGAGCGGCCACGTGGTTTTCCGAGTACCTTGCGTCCTCACCTCGCATCCATGTTATACTGGTTGCCTGTAGGAGGGCGAGCCTGCTTCTTGGAAGGCGCGGGCTTACCTGTAGATTAGGGCGGGGGGCCTTCTGAGAAGCAGGCTCCTAAGATGCGTCCCCCCCTCCCTGTAACCCCTCGTCGCCCGCCAAGATTGGGCGTGTCGGGTGGGCTGCTTGTTCTCGTCCATCGTCTTCCATCGCCTGCTCGTTCTCGCCCACTGTCCTCCACCACCTGCTCACCTGCTCCTAGATTTGCCTTTCTCTCGTGGAAATCCCGAATTTCACCGAACGCGTTCTTCTTTAGCGCTTCGCGGCCAGCATTAGCGACGGATCGGGGGAAATTGGTGGACCGTCGGCGCGGGGCGTGTGCCGCTATTTGCCGCTAGCTGGTCGCCGCAATTTGCCGCTATTCCCTAATTCGCCCGGAGCTTGACCAATATTATAGATTTCCCCTAAAACAGCTAATGTGAATTTGCTCGCCCTCATGCACACCTCAGAGATCGGATGGAGCGCATGGTGGTTGTATTATCTTGTCTTGCTCATGCTGAAACGCTGCCGCCAGAATCTGACTGGCATCGGCGTGTCCTTCGAGGACAGACGTAACCAGTGGGTGCACATCGACGGCCGGACAGGCTCGCAGCGTCCGACACCGTCTCCACATCTCGTGTACCGTTGAGACGTAGAGGGCCACGAGAGATGTGCAGCATTTGTGTGACCACATGTGGAATTGGCATAATTATTGGTAGGAGCATCGCAAGGAAGAAAAGGAGCAGGAGGAGCTGGAGGGGCTCACATCACGGCGAACCTCGGAGGCCAACGTTTTGTCGCCCCTTCGCTGCACCCCATTTGCACGATTGCCCGAATGGTCGGAGAAGAAGGGGGAGGTGGAGGGGTGGGGAGGTACATGGTGGAGGAGGAAGGCACCGATCTGTTCTGAAACCTGTCGTGCCCGTCGCCGCGGTCAGCTGGCCGTCTTGAGCATCGCCACCCTTGGTCCTTGGGGAGTCCCGCCTGCCTCCCTCGCGCCCCACCCCCTGCCCAGGCCCTCCCCCGTCGCCTGCCGCTGCGCCTCCTCGCTCCCGCCTGCTCCCTCGTCCCCCCTCCCTCCCTCCTTCGCCGCACTCCTCCCGCCCTTTCCCCCCCCCTCCCCCCCCCCCCCCCCCCGGACAGAATCAGTTTCACGCAGTGCCCCCCTTGCATCAAGCCGCCCGTTGCCCCCCACTCCCAGAGCTCCCTCGTCCTCCTGCTTGGCTTCCCCATCCTCCTCCTGCTCCCTCCTCCTCCTCCTCCCCCTCCTTACCTCTCCTCCTGCTCCTCCTCCTCATCCCCTCCTCCTCCTCCTCCTCCTCCTCCTCATCATCATCATCATCACGGAGTGTGGAGACAAACGAAAAGCCCAGGTACGACCAGCAGAAATGACATGCGATTGGATGTACAATCAAACATCGCGAGCCTCCGCACGGTGTACTCCTATACTGTCTGTGGAGATTTCAACACGGGGCTAGGAGTGGAGAGGGACGACGACAATGTGGTGGCCACAGAGCAGCTTGGAGATTTCAACCTGGGGCGTCAGGCACCAAACTTGGACAATTACGGTTGCCCGCTCTATGTGTGTGGTTTCGATTTGTTTTTGCGTCTGCCGGGCCAAACTACTACAACGCTCAGGGTGGCAGTTCCAGCATCAATTGCATGTTCCTCCCGTCCGCTATGATTGCCATGGTGCGCAAGTGTCATGCTGCGTGGACGGCCAGCCGCCGACTTCAACTGATACCACGCCGGCTTACGCGTGACCACGTGCCGATTATAATGGTTCTCCCATATGTGTTGTGGCACGCGCCTGCGACACAGTGGTCACCGAGCTGGGACTACAACAAGCTGGGATATTGCGTGCAATCAGGGGAAAAAACGTTGCGAATATTTCGACCTCGTTGCAAATAAATGTGACGCGCTTGCTGCGCAGTTCGAGGAGTTTCGCAGGGACCGCACGCCCGATCGAAGTTGGAATATATGGATTAAGGCCGTGCAGGAGGCACGGCAGGTTTTTCTTTTCGAAGACCACGCCTGCTTACAGAGACGAGGCCTACAAGCTCAAACGAGAATTCCGGATACTGGTAAAGCGCTTGGGCACACTATGACAACATTGCTCTCTCATCCCTGGCGACACCGAGCCACTTTTTTGCAAAACGAGGTTATGGCGAATGAGACAATGCAGACGGCAACAAACAGCAATGTTTCGCGAGTCTGTTCTCCATTCCCTGCATGAAGCCCGCCGATGTCGCCACTCTGCCCTCCAAAAAAGCTTGGTTCGATTATTAGCTGGAAAAGGGGTCGAGCCAAAACGTAGACTTGATTCACATATACCTGCCTTTCGTCCGTCCAGCGCAGACCTGCGCGCGATGGCCTGCTCACCAGGTGGATTGTCAGCTCGGGATATACCGGAAGCAGAGGTCCACGAAGTGCCAGGAGACGCATGGTTTTGGCCATTTGAGGATCATCATTACGAATGTGCTGAGATCGAGTTGAACAAGTGTATTCGGCATATGAAATCAAGCTCCAAACGCAAAGCCGTACCAGCATGGAACGCGCCCAGAGAGTTGTTATTGATCTCGCTGTGCCTGGATTATTTTTCAGTACGCCCCAAATCTATTTGGGAATTGGGTGCACCAGTATTTGTTTCATGCCCGAATCCACGAGAAGAAAGTTTACATATTTGGGCAAAGTGCTATAGCGTGAACCGCATACCACGTTCAGGCAATCAGTCCCAAGCTTTTGACATTGATAAGAACAACGGTAATGAGATTATGATGAGTTTTTACGAGCGTTGCACCTAACATGAGCTTTTTGGGCATATTATGTTGGTAGTTTGATGAGGTGGGGACTTGACGACGGAACGGTATCTTTTCCACCGTACTTTCACACCTGTCTGCCTTCACGCCGGCGCGAGGGGGCGATGGCCTTAATGCGTCAGACAGCCTATGGGCTACAGCGTCGCCGCCTTCCTTAGTACGCTGAGTTCAAGGATCTGACCAACACCTTCGCGTGTACTGCGGATGATCTGCGTCAGATGACGTTTGCAAGATTAGACTTAACTCCTAGACGGTGCGGCCTCGTCCGCGCTGGCTTTCTGATGTTTCGCGACAGTACGATTTTTGACGATTCGATGGCAGTGGGGGGCTGCGCACAAGATGACATTAAGCGAGCGGTACTTCCCAATCTCCGGAACAGAAGTCAAAACAAGCAGCTTGCAGACATGGGTTGTGATGGTATTGTTGACCCTAGCACGCGTCATCTCGGACCGAGGGCAGTAATCCTGGAATCTCAACGGTCCCGAGCTCAAACAACGACTCGCGGCTATTGACGAACATCGGAGGGAGCTGGGGAGTTTCTGGACGAGTTCAGCAACATTTGATGTGACACGCACAGTGTTCACAGCACATCTTGTGGGAGCAGCGGTGGCGGGTCTCACGTCTTTCACTTTCAATAGTGCTGAGTATCGTCGCCTCGATGTCATTATCGCTACGTATCTCAGGGTATGTGATCGGGGGAATGCGTGCGATGAGGGGGAGGGCCGAAAACGTAGTTGGAGCGTCCGCAAAGTTTCGGCTATTGCCCTCTTCGCTGGAAGTTGCGGTTCGGCTACTGCGCTGGTTGCAGGATATGGCCCGGCGCCCCAGCAAGCACAGGTAAACGATAGCGTCGATGTTCGGCGCGACGACGGTCAACATGCACGACCACGACGGCACATCCTTCAACATTCGATGCTCGACGAAACCGGCCATTTTACAGAGTTTGCGTAATTCGGACAGGCGATCGACACCGCGATCGCGACCCTCGAACCGATCACTAATGCAGAGAGTTTCGTCGAGCTATGGGAGTGCACGGGGCGCTCGTGGAGGGCTGTTTTTGAGGATGTTGATGTTCGGGATGTTTTTATCCCGATCGACGTCGCAGTTGTACGGCAGGCGTTCTGGGTTCGTGATTCCCCGGTGGCGTGGCAGGCATACAAGTCAAAGATGGATTTGCCAGAGGCCCTGCGTGTGTGTACCACTGCAGGCGGCGCGATGACGAGGGGTCCCCGCGCCAGGCGAAGTTCACCACTGAGCGCGCACGCTTACTCCACGAATTGCGGAAGAAGAGGGGGTACCCACGGACAGAGACACCCAGTGCTCATGTGTGGCATCAACAACGTATGCCCAGCGTGTTTTTCAGTTTTCTCTAGTAAGGAGTCGGCCCTTCAACCCGTCAGGGGGGCTTGGAAAAGCGGGTATTGCCGTATCGACGAGGCCCACTTCAAATGGGAAGTCGAACCCATTTTTTCCGTAGTTTGCCCGATTTGCGCAGCAGAGTTGGATAAGTTTCAAGTCTTCTTTCAGCACGCGCGTGAACGATATTTTACACATCCTATTCCTGTGTTTCTGCCTCGGCATTCCCATGCCGCTGCTGGAGATATCGGGAGCAGTCGCAGAAGACAAGGAGGGGCCAGAAGCCAAGCGTGCGAAGGGGGACGACACCAAAAAGAAAAAGAAGCAGGGCAAAGGCGGTCCTTCGCGTCGTCCAGGCGGGGCGCGAGATGGAGGGCGTCGTGATCGACGCGTTCCTCGGCCCGGTTGCGAGCGACATATTCACGGCAATCTCTGCGCAGATGACGGCTTACGCCGAGCTGGTGAAGAAGGAGGGCAAGGGCCAACAGAGGGGGCCCCAGGGGCT